ATACTGAGTTATCATATTTTTGAACATTATTATATAACGAATGAACAAACTTTTTAACTTTCCTTTCTGATTTTGGTTTATATGTTGCAAATGCGAAAGATTCACGGGCGCAATCCATCTGAAGATAACCGGCATCACCTCTTTCGGTTTCTACTTCTAATTGTTTAAAGCTTTGATTTGATGATTTGTAACCAACGAATAAACGCATGCATTTAAAAGCGGCATCACATGTGAAAGCTTTATTTGAAACTAGAGTTGCTTTAACTTTGCGTTTAATATATGTGTCACCTAATTGGTTCACATCATGAGCCGGATTTGTAATTCTTAAATGAGTTTGTTTATCATCAAAATATGGAGCATCAGAGTCATAGCATGAACTTTCAAGTTCTCTATAATATCTTCTACCGTCATTCTTTGCGAATATTTCATTTATCTTTTCGAATGAATGAAACACATTTCCATTAATCGGTTTAGTGTTTGGCACCAAATAGTTAGTCGTCATTTATTAATAAATAAAAAATCAAAATTAAAAGATGAAAATGAATTTTTAATTTTAATGAAATAATCAACTATGGCTGCAGGTATATTTAAGAAACTGTGGGATAAGTAAAAAGAGGAGCGAGTAAAGTTTGGGAAACATTGAAGAAGGGGCAAATTGGATATTTAAGAATAAAGAAGCAATTAGTGACGTTGCTGAATCAATAACACCAAAAGCTGCCCCAATAAGAGAAGTTTTAAATAAAGGAGAAAAAGTTTATCAAAGACTACTACAACCGATACTAAGATAAAAATAATATTTATTTATTTTTCCACTATCTACCTCCTATTTTATTAAGTATTCCTTCAGCAATTCCACCAATTGCGTTACCTGCTTGTGCTCCCATTGCCGGATTACCTGCTTTTGTACCTAATACTCCACCTATGATAGTTCCTGCCGTTTTCGCTACTGGTGCCAAAAGTTTGCAACGGGTTTAATAATCTTTTTATAAACCCAACCCGCAGCTTTCTTAATTCCATCCCATAATTTTTTAAAGAATCCTGCCGCCATTTCTGATTTAATATTAATTAAAAAATATATTTCATCACTTATATTCTAATTTTTATTTAATGATAAATGAAACCGATTTTAAAAATAAATGAAACAGAGGAGGAAGAAATAAATGAAAATGTTCAACAAAAAATAAACGTTGTTAAACCAATTACTGAAATAAAAATTTTTTCATCTGTTGAAGAATTTAATGACTATTATGCTAATAATAAAAAATTATTTGAAGAATTGACAACATGTAAATTGAATAAAATGTTTAAAGTTGATGGATTCAAAATTTCAAAAATAAAAGGAGTGGTTAGTTTGAAATCTATTCCTCAATCAAGAATCACCTCATTAATGAAAATTGATGATTTAACAAAAAGAATAGAAGAGATTGAAGAAAGAATAATCAAATAATTGATTTCATAAATTCAAATAATCATTAGTTTCTTAAAGTTCTATGTTGAACTCATCAAATTCTTCTTCATCATTACCATTACCATTACCTTTAGCGAGTTTATTTACTCTTTCAACTTTATCTTTTGATAGTCTTTCGTTTAATTTTTTCTGAAGTTTTTCGTTACCAAGTTCTAAAATTTTACATGGATGATATTTAAACCCGTTAAATTCTTTTTCCTCAGTTTTAATCATTAATCTACAAAGAACTTTAGTGAGGTGGTTTTGTTGTTTAAACCATTTATCCTTAATATTTGTTATAAATTCAATATCCGGAATTAATTCCCAAATTTTTGAATTTTCGATTAATTTACCATCAAATGCAAAAGCAATAGGTTTAATATTAAACTTACCTTTATAAAATAAACTTTGTATGTAATCATCAAAATAAACGTCTACTTGTTTAACCTGGGTGAGAATTGGTGAAAGTTTATCCATTAATTGATTCACAGTCACGAATTTTGATTCACTCATTTCTTACGAATTAAAAAAATAAATTATTCAAAAATGTAAGACATGAATTTTTAAAATTTATTTTTTAAAAATTTTTTATTTTTTATTTCATTATGGTAGTGAATCTTTTATTCATGAAAATAATTATTTCTAATTTCTTTTACTCTCTCGTATATACTAGATTTGAAGAATTCAGAACATTTCCCATAATCTCCTAAATGTTTTCTTATCCCTAACGTGTGCCAGTTATTATATGAAACTGAATAAACTTTATCTTTATCTTTACACCTTTCATCACTTCCAATATATTTATATCTCAGTTTTGATTTAGCATTTTCATATTCATTAGCGTTTAATAATTCACAGTCTTCCTTTTTAAATTGATGTTTAAGATATTCAGGATTTAATACTCTACGTTTATATGCTCCTAACTTAGTTCTAAAGGTTTTTCTACAAAATTTAGGAATTCCATCCTCTTTAATGTCATCAATGATTTCCATTTCATTATTTTCAATTTCTTCTTCTCGTTTATGAGGTCTTTGATTATGACTCCATTGATTCCATGAAATTAAATATTCTTTATCATTATATTTATACCTCATTAGCTTATTTTGGCTTTCATATTCATTTAATAATTCACAATCTTCATTTTTAAATTGAAGTTTAACCCATTCAGGATTTAAACAATGTTTAATTAATCGCGGAATATCTGACATCATCTATATATAGCTTCTTTTATAAAAGATAAAAAATAAATTATTTTAAAATTAATGTTAATTTTTTAAAATATGTTTAGTATATAATATTTATTACTAATTTATTTAATAATGTCGCGCTTTCTTACGAATTCATGACTTAAAAAACGTAAGAAAAAATTTTTATATCATCTATATATAGAAGATGTGAAAATATACCTTCATCTATATATAGACGTAACAAAAAAAGTCACTAAACCCTTTATATCCTACTACTAGAGTAGATCGGAAATTTTCAAACGTTCACAAAATTTTACAACTATTGAATTATGGTATTATCATGTTGCATAAAATTTGATTGTCGTTGGAATAATTACACAAAGAATCTGATGCTTTATTTGTGGTGGCTAATAGAATAGATCAAAAACATTGAAACAATAAAGAATCATTTCGAATTTTTTTAGGGTCGTATTTTCTTTCAGGTTTGAATGTAACAATTATCTTTAATGCACCAAAATATTTCAAAAATTCATGAGCGATTATTAGGGATCCTTCAAATGAAATAAAAAATACGCGATTCTTTAGCTATTAAAAAAAATAGTTTAAATAAGGGTTGCTCCAGCATTTATAACAACTCGGAGCTTTAAGAACAAGAATATAGCAATAGCAATAGCAACAATCATCAAAATTGTCATGAAAACTAAAGCAACAATCAAACCAGTGTGCTTCTTACCACCACTTCCTGATGGAGTATTTCCACCCTGGCTATCTCCAGATGTTGTACTAGTTGTTGGCTTATTTGGTGTTGGTGAATATTTAGAAGATGTATGGGATGAAGGATTAGTAGATTGAGATGTTGGGTTAGTTGGCTGGGATGCAGTGCTAGTAGGTTGTGGTGTTGGATTTGTTGGCTGAGTTGGCTGAGTTGGTTGGGTTGGCTGGGATGTTGGTGTTGTTTCACCGCTTATTATGGATGGATTTCCATCTGCTGTGAATGTTGCCTTTGAAATCTCAACATATGATGGGTTTTCACCACTGGATTTGATTGCAATGCTTGGGGAGTTAGCATTGGTAAGCTTTACAACCAATAAAGTGTTTGGTGCTGATGTCTGGATTGATCCACTGTTTGAGACAGTACTGTATGGCTCATACTTTCCTGGAATGAATGCATCTACCGTACCTTGAACATTAACAGAGACTTGGGTAGACATTGTGCTTGGAGATGATAGCCAAATGCAATTAACTTTATCTGCTGAAAGTTTGGAGTTTGTAAGTGTGAAATCCTGTTGAGCATTATTTGAAGCATAAACGCTTTCGCATTGCTTACCAATAAGAAGGTTGCTAACAATAATAACAGAGCAAGCAAATTTAGTCTGAGAACCTGTCATTTTAACATAAAGTTTGCCACTTATTGGGCCTAATTGGATAATTGGAGAGCTTGAAGATAATTTGCCGATTTGTGTGTTATCTTTATCATATGCAGTGATGTCAAAACCATTGGTTGTACTAACTGCTACGATTGCATTTGAAGATACAATAAATAGGTTAAGATCCTTTGGGTCTGCTAAGTCTACAACAACTGATTTACTAGTAGAAACGTATATATTGGCTGTTGATATAGATAAAACAACGAATAATGTGAACATTAAAGAAATATGATATCAAATTCTTTTTGAAAATTATTATGGCCAATTTTCTGAGTATTTCTTTCAATTTATTTCAAATCAAGTATATAAATTGTTGTACAATATTTGTTGGATATTTATATTTCTTATTTTGGAGATATATTTTTGTAAACATTTCAATATACAGAATCGTTCTCGGTAGGATTGTCAATTTGAGTCCGATAAGGATAATTTGCACATGAGAGCATGAATTTTCTAATTTTAGATCGTAGGGTGGATTAATGAATTTATGTATTTTAATTCTATGCTTCACCTTGGTTATTGGTCATATATTTTTTATTGAATTTGAAATTCTCTATTTCTCCAAATTAAGCGCTTAGATATGCTAGAAGATGCGTTGTATGTTGCAAGTTTCTAGATATAAAAACGAATTTCATTGATAAATCATTTAATTTGACCTGAATTAACATTGCATTTAAATATTACATGAATATCATATAATCATTCATTATGTAATTCTCATAGAAGACTAATATATAGAACTTACCTAAGTATTAAACCTAAATTTTTATAATGATTTCATTTCGTGAATTGTATTATTGATAAAGAGTGTTAAACATAATTTATGTTAACTTAAGCTTTAATCGTTATATAATATCAGAGTATTTATTAAAAGAAACAAACATTTATAATAAAATCAAAGTAAAAACAAGGTAAACAAATGTGAAAAGGCTAAAAAGTTCATCCTATGATAAGATTAAAGATGAACTTGAAGATACTTCCATCATCATTAGAATCGTGCTGAATTTGATTCATATGCCATTTATTAAGAGGTAAAATTTGATCTCCATCATCTCCATTGCTCCATGATGTTTTCTGAATGCACCAAATTATGAAGTAAATTAAAACAGAAATTATTACGCATAAAATGATATAAACAAAGACTTCTGGTGCTGGGCTATCATCAGTAGGGAAGTTTATTGTAAATTTTTGTTTTGACCAATGTAATTTGTTAAATGAAATTTCCAAGGAATAATTTCCTTTAAATAGTGGTGGGCAAGAACAAATAGCATGGCTGCCATTAAATTCGCTTGGAGGATAGATTGATGGGCCGATTTTGCAATATGGCATAGTTGTATTTACTTGTTGTGATTTATAGACTACTGTTAGGAATGAATCTGTATTTTCGCATTTATGCGGCTTAACTGATACTATAGTTGGTCTTGGATAATCGCAATCTTTTATTCCATCACCAACTAAACCTGGCTTGCAAGTGCATTTATCCATTGAAGTGCAAATTGCTTTTTCGTGGCATTTAGGATCGCACCTAAAGCAATCACCGCCATTCTCTGGATTTCCAAATGGAAAACCCGCTTTGCAAATGCAAATATTGAATTGTTCATCAAGTTCTGTATTATTTCCTTTACAAGCAAGTTTTGCGGTGTTTACGTATATAGTTTTTGAAAGCAAACTTGGAAAAGAACTTAATTTAATTCGAATAATTGCACCTAACATATAAAAAGTGACAATATTTCGTGTCAAAAATCATTCTCAAAACCAAGATTATGCTTTACTTGTCAGACATAAATTTAATTCAAACCCGTCATTTGAAAAATGAGTGTTTATAAACCCGAGATTCAAGCAGTAATTTTCGATAGCGACGGCACAGTTCTTGATACACTAAACCTCTACTACATTGCAATGACAAAATTAGTTCCTCCACCATATCCACAATCGTTAGTTGATGAAATTAACGGAAGATCAGACTTGGATGTCGCCAGAGCAATGATTAAACATTACAACTTAGATACAACTCCCGAAGCATTTGCAAAGAAACGTTTAGAAATACTTGATTCTCTTCTTCCAACATGCAAAACTGTTAAAGGTGTTGAAAGAATCATAAATAAGATACACGAAATGGGAATTCCGATGGCCGTTGCTACAAGTAGCTGTAGATCTGCTCACGAGGCAAAAATTATTAATCATAATGAGTTGTTTAGCAATTTTGTGGCAACTATATGCGGCGATGAAGTAAAAGAAACAAAACCAAATCCTACAATATTCCAATTAGCTTCTGGCAAACTTGGTCATTTCAATCCTGAGAACGTTCTTGTTTTTGAGGATGCATTTCATGGTATTGGTGCTGCCAATGCAGCTGGAATGCCATCTGTATTCTTAGTTGATAATAAGGAAAAGGCAAAAGAAAATATGGATAAGATGAATCTCAAAACTCAAGTAATGATTACATCCTACGAAGATTTTGATTTTGGCAGTTTCAATTGGGCCAAACATTAAAATTTTCAATTATATGTTACGTATTATAGAGAATAAAACATTTCATCGTTGAACACCTGAGCTTTTTAATTAAATATATTACCATTCCTTCATTGTTAAAGCAAGGAGTATGTATTTTAATTTTCCAAATTTTTATTATATATGAACCAAGCATCAGCTCCAATTGGGATGAAAATCTTATTGTTTTCATCTTTCCTAAAATATCATGTCATTTTCTATCTATGAACTTCATTGAAATTCATAGTAGTATATGTTGAAGGGTTGTGTGACTTTTTTTGTAAACGTAAGAATTCATACAATATTGAACGATTTTGTATCATTTTTTTTAACATATGAAGTAAAAAATGTATGATTCTTACGGTTTTTATTCTTACGTTTTTGAATAAATCAAGATTTAAAAAATTTTCAAAATTGTAAGACATTTACACTCAACCCATACATAATAACATTAATTTTAAAAGAAGCTATATATAGATGATGTCAGATATTCCACAATTAATTAAACCGATTTTAAAAATAAAGATTGAGTTCAACATTGAACTTTAAGAAACTAATGATTATTTGAATGAAAAATAAACTTTAAAAATTCATATCTTACAGTTCTGAATAATTTATTTTTATTTTGTATGAAATGAGCGTCAAAACTAACAATGTTAAAAATTTAGGATTCACAAACGAGGAAATAAAGGATATATTAGAGGAGGTGGGTTATGAAGTTGATAAATATTATTTAAGAAATTGTAAAAAATTCGCGGAGTTTTTAAATGAATTTGGTTATGATGGAAAAATGAATAAAGATGATGTTATAAATTTCTTATATCCCACATCTAAAGAAGAAAAACCTAAAGAACCTGATGTTTTCCCTGAATATTTTGAAGAAAAAATTAAACAAGATGAATATTATAACGATGAGATTGAGAAATTGGAAAAAATAAGAGATGAAATAGATGAAAAAATTAAGGAATTAAGAGAAGTTGAAAATGAAGTAGAGGGTTTAATGAATATCCCAGCTTCAGAATCAGCAGTTCAGAAATCTCATGAAGAAAGATATAAAAATTACTTTTTGGAATCTACTAAAAATTTATTAGATGGTGAAATAGATGAAACACTTTCAGAAGAAGGCACAAAATTTATTCATAAACATAAGTTACAATTTATTGACGATGGGGATTATTCATGTATATTACTTTCACCTCCTCTTGATTCTGAAAAATTCAAAAAAGCACTGAAAAATGTAACATATGCAACTAATACGATTAAGAAAGAAGACCATGATATTTACACAAATTATTATTTAAATAAATGTACAGGTGTTGATAAAGTTTTTGATTTGTTAGATAAAATATCAAAAGAAACAATTGGTACATATAAAATTTTATGCGATTGTGGTTTCATTATTGAAGATACCAATAATGTTTCATATGAAAGAACAGCACCGAAGGAAGACGAAGTGGAAAGGTCTATACCATTCGTTATTAAGAATATAAAAGATATGAAAACTTATAAACATTATATTTATTCATTTATTTCAGAAAAAATGGAAGCAACCCATAAAACATCATCTCATCATTTTATAGCTATTCATACATTCCTTTTCAAAGTTGTGAAATTAAATAAGACAGGAATTAGATTTAATGTATCAGGGTACACATTCTTGAGTAAATTAAAATGTATTCGTCACGTCACAGATGATAAAAATTTATGTGTTCTTAATTCATTTTATGGACTTTAGCCCTGGACTCTCTGAGTCTCGGACTTTAAAAAAAATAAACTTTATTTTTATTTTTTATTCTTACATAAATGAACAAAAATGGAACAGCTAAAATGAATGATAATCAAATAAGAGCCGAAGGTAGAAGGTTATTTAAACGCTTCTATAACATTCCTGATGGTGTTAATCCTAAAACTCGTAGAAGTTATTTAAATGAAGCCATAGATGTATATGAAGGATTTGACATTTCATCAGAAAGTGAGAGGTTAGCAAGAATGTTAAATGTTAATATTGATTTCTATTATTGTGATCCTCAACCAGAAGACGTAGACATTAACAAGGTAGACTTTCCATTAGTGGATTCAATAATGATAGATCCAGAATTTGAAACAATAAATATTTTATTAACACAGAGTCCATGTGGAAAACTTCACGCTGACAGAATAACAGACGTTGAAGCACTCACCGGCTATAAAGTTTGCCCCTTTTGCAAAGAAGAAGTATATTCTATCCGTGATGATCCAGAAAGGAAAAACCAAAGAAGATTTTTAAAACATTGTGAGAAATGTAAAGAAAATAATGGAAGATTAATTCAAGACGTTCAATTGCAAAACACACAGCAACCATATGCACCACATATTACGAAACAGAAGATATATCAGTGGTTATTAGCTCACAATTTGCAAGAATATTATCAACCGACAAGATATTATATTACTTTTGACTTTGAAACATTAGAGACTAAAGAAGAACTTCAACTTTCTGAATGTGCAACTTTGAACGCTTACTTAAAACCATTTATGGTATCATCAACTGTCAAAATAAAGCCGCAAAGCGGTGAGGACGTAGACCGTGATAAAACATTTACGAGGAATTTTTGCTTAACATCAAGTGATTCGTTCATCTCTGATTGGATTGAATTTTTATTTTCAACCTGTTCATTAGTTGCTAAATCAAATATTGAACAATATGAAGAATTAATGAATACATTAAATGAAAAACAGAAGGAAGCATTTAAAGAACTTCTAGATGAGGAATTCAATAAAGTGAATATCATAGGTTTTAATTCGGGAAAGTTTGATTTAAATTTAATTCTTCGTGATTTAAATACTGCAAAATGGAAGATAAAATCAATGCTGGGTTCATCTTCACAATTTAAGCAAATCATTGTAAAGAAAACAAACGTTCCATATGAATTGAGATTTATTGACATCAGAAATTATATAGCGGGTGGAACATTAGACCAATTCACTCAAGATTTCGGAAACAATAAATCACGTGTTAAATCCTTTTTCCCTTATCAATTCATCACATGGGAGAATTACGAAGATGAATTATATAAAAAGGAACCATTCACTCAAGATTCATTTTATTCAGCATTAACCCAAGAAACTATATCAGATAGTGATTATCAAATATATCTCAATGATGCTAAAAATTTTGAGAATAGATTAGAATATTTTATTCATTATTGCAATAAAGACGTTGAAATTATGATTGACCCAATTGATAAAATTATTGAAGAAACATTTGTTTATAAAATTGATATGCTTCATAATCTTTCTTTATCATCGAATGCTTCAATGATTCGTTACGCGTTAGCATATAAGAACTTCAATCCTAACGAAACATATCCAGAAGAAGAAAATGTGGAATCAAGTTTTGAATTAACGAAAAAGTATTGGAAATATAAAATTGAATCATATAAGAAACAAGATGAAAAGGTGAAAAGAGATACTAAAAACAATGTTTCAATGGATGACTATCAATACTATCACGATTTAATCCTTTCATCTAAATGCAAAATGTGTGGTAAAGCGTTTACATATGCAAATAAACCAACATTGGATAGAATCGATAATGAAAAACCACATACTAAAGAAAATTGTCAGTTAATGTGTTGTTATTGCAATGTCGTAAAATCAAATAAAGATGAAGATGTTCAACGTTTAAGAATCAATTTAAGAAATTATGCATTAAAAAATAATTTACCAATGACTTTAGATTCGGTTGAAGCTTATCACATTCTCCGTAATGGAATTACTGGTGGTTTATCAAATGTTCAACATAGAGTAAATCTTAAAGGAATCACGCACATTAATAAACTTTCATATAATCCAGAAACTAAAACTGTATCAAATGAGGACACCACCAACATCATGACTCATTTCGTTGGTGTTGATTTTAATTCATTATATCCTTCATCATTTTCATCTAATCCTCATGATTTCATTCAATATACTGACCATAAAATGTATATGCCGGGAAGATTGAATGGTGTTATCATTTGTGATACAGCAACAAAGAAAGCAAAAGCACTGGGAATTATTAAGAAGAAAAATACTTTATTCGTGGCTGAAGTAAAGGGTCACATTGATGAAAAATACATTAATGATTACATTAACTTTTTACCGATAATAAGAAACTTAGATATTATCACAGATGAAAAAACAATTGGCAGTTTTATGTATAATTACATGAAATCAAACAATTTACCAGTTGACCAGAAACAGAGAAAATTAACTCAGTTAGCATCAACACACAACCAATATCAACCATTTTCTTCTTATTATCTTTGGTATCTAATCGACAGATTTCATTTTATCATCGATGATATTCAATCAATTTTAACATTTACGAAAAACACTTGTTTTAATGAATTTGCGAACAAATTTATGAACGAAAGACAAAAGGCTGAATTAGAAGGAAATAAAGGAAAAAGTTTATTTTGCAAGATTTCACTTAATGGATCATATGGTTACGATGCAATGAATACACAAAATTACGCAAAGACTAAAATAATGAATGCACAGAAGTCACGCGTTGCATGTATGTCAAATAAGTTTAAAAACATAAGAGAAATAGGTGAAGATACATATCAAGTGATGCTTAAAGATAGATTTTATAGATGTGAAACATGTTTACAAGAGGCATTCTTCACTTTAGATAACGCAAAATACTGGTATTTGGTTTTCATTTATGATTTTATGTATAAATGCATGGATGTTAATCGTTTTCATTTCATTGAAGGTGATACTGATTCATCTTATTGGGCAATCGCTGGCGACCCAAATCTTCCTAACACTCAAGCATTTCAAGCAATTGTTACCGATAAACAATTTTATGATAAAAACATTTTCAAATTCGCACCATTTGATTTCTTCTGTTTTGATGAGAAATTTAAACCTAAATTAAAGAATAAAGCTGAAGAAAAAGCACATGAGAAGAAGTTATTGGGTTTAGCAATTGAGAAACAAGGTGATAACATGGTTGCTTTATGTCCTAAGTGTTATACATCATTCAACGGTTCAATTGATGGAAGTGATTTTAAAAAGATTGCACAAAAAATGAAAGGTGTTGGTTTACGACAAAATAAACAATTAACACCTAAAAATTATTTGGATATAATAAATGATAAATTGATATTTGATGGTCAGAATATTAATTTACAACTTAAAAATGGGTCAATGACTCGCTTAACAATTGGTAAGACTGCATTAACAGGAGCACACACTAAGGCTGTATGTTGTGAAAATGGATGTTGTATGCCATTTATTTAAAATTTTATTTTTAATGAAATGCCACAGAAGAGACAAAAGGAACCGTTAATAATGATTTTGATTCTTGATCAAAGAGGTGGGCGCCCTTAAAACATTTATTTTATTTTTATATAAATGGATAATGTAGATTTAAAAATTTTAATTGATGATTTAGTATTTAATCAAAATTTTCTTACTTATTATGAATTAAAAGCATATCTCCAAAAATATGATGAAAATATAACGGGTGATGATATGGATTATTATTATCATTATTATAAAAATGAAATTTTGAAATATCATGATAAAATAATTTCTAAAATTAAAGACAAAATTAAAAATAATGAATATTCAAAGGGAAAAACTAAATCACAGCTTAAACAGTTGAAAGATTTCAAAAATAAAGTATTAACAGAAGAAGATATTGATGAATTATATAAATTATATAATCCTGAGCCACAAAAACCAAAGGAACAAAAACAAAAGGAACAAAACACCCAGGTCCTTCAGACCATAAATGATGCACAAGCTTTAATTTATGATTCATTAGTTAAACCATATTCAGCCCGACTTTTAAATGAAGATCAACTTTTGGAATTCATCCTTCAACATAAACTCGAAGCGGGAAAGTATATCAAACCTTTATATACAGCATATTTAAAACAAATGAATAGAATACATCCAGAATTAATGAAGGAAGAAATGAAATCCAAAATCAAAGCAGATAAAATTAAACCACTTGCAACACCAAAACCTCCAACGACAGTACCGCCTCCTCCTTCAGTTAATCCTTCATCATTCACTTTATTATATCCATTTCAAACATTAAAGAAGCAAAAAGATTTTAAAAAGGATTTCAAGATATTAAATAAACCAATTGACCCAAAAATTCAACCGTTAAAGGAAAAATTTAGTCGCCCTTCATTTGCTCCATATCCATATTCATACGAAATCGATCATCTGGAATATTCAAAAGGAAACGTTACTTATTTATTTGCCATTAACATTAACACTAGATATTTATATTGCATTCCAGTGAAAGGGAAAACAGAACATGAAGATTCTAAAGGATTTGTTGATAACTCGATTAAATCTTGTTTGGCTTCAGTCATCGGAATGATTCGTACATTAAATGATGAAAGGTCATATTGCATAAAATATGTTAAAAGGTTATCATAAAATTCCTTTGTGCATGAATCCATTAAATTCTTGAAGTAATCAAATTGACCCTTGAATTTACCATTAACTCTTAAAACTACGTATCTTCTGTCTCCAACTTCAATTTTGACAGGGTAAACGTTATTAGTTACGAAAATGAAGTTTGCAACATTCTGAGCAGTTCTTCTGGGTTGATTCTTTTCATTAATTCTAATCTCATTGTCCGTAATAATTGATTTCAAAGCGTTGAAGTTTGCGAGTCTGTCTTCACCTACATTCTTGAGTTCATTAAGTACAAGAAACATTTTATTTTCAACTACTGAGTTGAAATTACCCGTTAGCTCACTTATTTCAGTAATGTTTTTACATGAATAACCGGCGAGAAGTTCAGAAATAATGTCCGTGAATCTGTTTTTACCTGTTCCCTGAAGTCCTTTCAAAATAATTGCTGTTTCATTCTTGATTCCAGGATGTTGAATCATTGATGCAATCCAGCCGAGAAGGTATTTATACACTTCATCGTTATTATCGCATATGGCTTCTTTAATGAAATCCATAAACATCTCAATTTTTGAGTAATCTACTTTTTCGAGAACGTTGTATTTATAACCTTGAAACGTTGAGAAAACATCTGGAGAATCAGATTTAAAGCAAACACCCTTAACGGTTAATGAAGACAATTGATTTAATAGTACATCCCATGCTGTTATGGTTTTACCTTCTTCTTTAAATAATTTAATCATTTTAAGTGACTCTTTCATGTTTGATTGAAGAACGAATGATATTTGATTCATTTTGTCGTGTATGTTGTAATCTTTCTGAATGAAGTATTTGTTTCCACAATCTACAAAACGGATTACACGTGATAAATCCTCAATTACTTCAGAACTGTTTTTATACTGATGATTTTCAGCCTTGCATCTAATATCTGTTATCAAAACGAGTCATCAAGTTTGATATCAAATGTTATTTTTGGCTTACGTAATAAAGGTAAAACATATTCATCATAATATTCCTTTTGATAAAGTTTTAGAATCTTCACCAAAACAAATGGAGAAGTCATTAAATGTGCATATCTACTACGTGCTTTTTCAAAATTACTTTTTGCATTTTCAGTTAAATTGCAGAAGTTATAAACGTTATCGTATGCTTCATTAATCAAATGATTAGGTAACGAATTAATAGCTTGAAACAGTGTGAATAATGTTATTTCTTTTTCTAAATTCATGTTTCCACCATCATTATGTACTTCAATCACAGATGCCATCAACTATGCTCTGAGCTAGTTTATCGTCAATGTTTACATCTTTGTTTTCATTCATTATACTCTTTATTTCTTCATTCTTCTGTTCAACTCTTACCTTAATATTCAAATCATTTAATATATCATTCACTGTTCTAGTTAATGTTAAATCATAACTTCCACGAATGAATGAGTATGTATTGATTGGTTCTGTTGCATTCTTTCGAACTCTTGAATCAGCCATAACTACTAATGAACGCTTTGAATCATCCATTGAAGTCATTATGTCGATATCATAATCATTGCAAGAATAACATTTAATCATTCTGTTCGAGGTTGAATAGAAGAAGTTAGTGTTGCAATAAATGTGAAGACCTCCTGATGCGGTTTTAACGATAACATCTTTATCCGAAAGTTTTGATAAAATGTCTTTTCTAACTGTTTCTTTAAGTTCATCATTGTACGATTTATTGATATCAACATCTATAATCGTTAAATTTGAAATTTTATTTACTAATAAAGCTGTACCAGTTTTCCTTCCTCTTCCTCCATCATGTTTGAGGTAGTTATGTAAATTAATCATGTTTTCACCAATTCTTTCGTTGAGGGTTTTAGTTTCTGCCATAACTAATTCCGCAACTAATGAATCAATAACTTGTTCATCAGAAACGATAAAGTTGCTGTTGTTGTTGTTTGTTGCTGTCATTTATATAGGAATAAAAAAAATAAAAATAATTTTAAAACTAACTTTATTTTTGGGCTGATCAAATTTTCGTAAATGTTGTCAAAATGTCATGTTGTCTCATTTTTTCAGAGAAGTTAAATGACCTGGTGACCTGGTGACCTGGTGACCCCTTCAGTTCTTCAAAAATAATTCATAACTGCCTTCCACTGCTGTGTTGTCAAAATGTCATGTTGTCTCATTTTTTCAGAGAAGTTAAATGACCTGGTGACCTGGTGACCCTTCAGTTCTTCAAAAATAATTAATTATTGAATAACCTAAATCATTTACTCACAATATTTTTGTACAAAACAACCCCAAACTTTTAACTTCTTTTCTGCAGCTTCTAATGCTATCTTAGCGAGTTCATATTCTCTAAATTCTCTCTTTAATTTTTCTTGTTCCCATTGGTCTAGTTCGTATGGAGAATCTCTATAACCATAACATAACTCACGTTCATGTTCTAATTGTTTTTCGCACATTTTTCCAACTTCTTCTTCAAACAAAGGTTTAGCATTCTCTACTGTATCTTCAAGTTCTTCTTCATCTAATTTCTCATGAACTTTCTTGTCTATGGAGTCCATAATATCTTTGACATAAAATGCATACTTTACAGAGCACCATTCAGCAACAAAATGAACGAGGTCAGGATGTATGTAAATACCTTTGAATTCATTTATAACACCCTTTGTAAGCTCATATAAAATGTTTGTTTTGAGGTCGAGCCACTTTTGGCTCCACCGTATTCTTTCAACCAAAACTCAAGAATTTCCTGCATTTTAGCACTATTGAGAAATCTGTTTAAATGGTTTAACTTTCCTGCTTCTCTTGCCATCTTTGTTGCATTAATGTAACCATCCTTGTCTCTACGTAAGACTTCAATACCGTTATAAGTGCCTTTTGTGAATGTTCGCCATTAGATTTGTTAGTGAATGTTTTTGCTTCGACTGACATTACTGTCTTTACATACAAAATAAAAAAATAAATAAAAATAATTTTAAAACTAACTTTATTTTTGCCTTCCTCATTAATCCTCCTGTGTTGTCAAAATGTCATGTTGTCTCATTTTTTCAGAGAAGTTAAATGACCTGGTGACCTGGTGACCTGGTGACCCCTTCAGTTCTTCAAAAATAATTAATTATTGAATGACCTGAAACCATTAACGTAAACATTTATTTCTACAGTTCATCCATTACTTCATTACCTAATTAATTACAGACATAAAATATATTTAGTTCATTCAATAAATGCGGTACCATGCGAATACAGTCATAAATGGTGGCATGTAATCTTTACCCGAGCCTGTTGGATTTGTTGTGAAAGTGTGTGAATGATTTCCTCCTGGTTCAGTTGGTCGAAAAGTCTTTTTTGCCGAATGGTTATAATCTGGAGATAAAACGTCATTGCCAGCATAATATTCTGAGTTGTATAATGGGTGGTCTCGTAATGAGTGGCTATGGTCGCCAGAAAAGTTTGTCGTTCCCGTATGAGTGTGTGATGGAAGGTTTTCAATATTTATTTTCTTTGAACCTCCTGTTTCCTTTGAAGAGTTTGCACAATACAAAAACCTGTCAACTATTTGTTCCCATGCACCAACACCAAACATTACTTGAGGACCTCTTGCATCCATTGATGTATAAATAGAACCTACTGGGTTCATTAAATCAAACATATGAGATATTATAGGATTGTCTCTTTTGAACTTAAAATATAGTGCAACTATTTCTGGTTTCTTCTGGTTTGTGTCAGAATATTTTTTATAATATAATCTTATGTTTTCAGGGTAGGTAAAATCTTGACTATAATATTTATTTCTGTCATCTGTATAATAATATACTATTCTCGTTTTTTCTATTGCATTATATCTTTTATATCTATAATAATCTAAATATAATGTTAACTTTTGTTCATCTACATGTGGTGTTCTGACATCATCTCCATAGTCATAATAATATGGTGCTGGAGCTGGGTCAGGCAATGTCATATCTACCATTTCATAAACTCTTAAATATTTCTTTTGTTCGTCTCCATATAAGTTTAAGTAGCAGTTGTTGTCTAATGGAACTTTAACTTGTGTGCCATCATTCTTTATATAGCCTACATACATTTCATTGTTATTTTTCGGAATGAGTTTCCACCGTATACCATTTTTTAAGGAGTGTACAAACTGCCATCTAAAATATTTATTTTCTTCATTGACAGAAAAGTCGCCAACAATAGTTTCAATATTTTTTGTTCCTATCAAACTTTGGTATATTTCGTTAACATATTCCTTATCTGCCTTCTTCCCTAACTCATCGTTAACATAAGTTTTATCCGCTTTAAGGTCTAAACATCCTGAAACCCATCCTGTATCGGCTTTAGTTTTTAAAATCTTTGATGTCCATTCATGATACCATTCAACCCTTTCTTTAATTTCATTATCTTTTTCATCCACGTATTCCTTATCTGTCCTCTTCATTAACTCACTATCCACATATTCCTTATCTGCTTTCTCCATTATGTCATTTAGGAAACCTTTTATGAATTCCTCATTTAAATTAAATCTTCCAATCTTCAAAACTTTAGGAAATGCATTTAATGCGTAATATCTCTGTTCTTCTGGTGGAATTGATGTTATATCATCCGTTATTCCTTTAATTTTTGAATTCATAAATAAAATTTCTTTTATATTTGATATCACTGCACCACCCTTGCAAACGAATTCGAAATGGTCATTTTTCAATACTATCTCCAAATCTCCATATTTCAACCTTTGCGTTTGTTCTGCCGTCTTTGAATTATATGCATATATGGCGTATGTAATGGTCTGAGGGACCTGGGTGCTTTGTGCCTTAAGTTGCTGTGGTTGCTGTTGTTTAATCATTTATTATGATTTAAAAATAAATATTTAATCCGTTATCTCATCACCTATTTTTTCTATTTGAAATTGCCATAATATTTCATTCATGAATTCTAAATCACAATCAAATAGGTCAGTTACTCTAAATTTAATATTTGATAAATCTTTTGAATGAAGAATAAATGAATTCCCAGATAATTGAAACGGATATGATAAAGAAAATATGTTTAAGTTGATGGATAAAATGTTTTGTATTGATGGGTAAGAGTTAGGGTCTAATGTTTGATGTGAAAATCTCATTGGGGTATTAACTTTATCACATTTGATTAAAATGAAATTGGAACCAGTGTCAGAATACAAAACATCCCCAACATCTTTTTCAAAATTTAATATCCCCAACAATGAACGAAGATGAGGAGTACAAAATTTAATTTTCAGCGGAAATTTAATAAGGTTATTTATTTCATCAAGTTCAAAAAGTTTATCAGGTTTTGATTTAAAATTTTCTTCATACCATACGATAAATGATTCATTTAAATAACTTAAAATCATGTTAATATCCCCTTTCGCGATCACATTATTTATATACATATCATACGTTTTTTCATGGTCATCTTTAATAAATGATATATAATCTGAAGGGTCTAAAAGAATGGGATTAAATTTACCACTCACAGAAACGAGAGTAACATTATAAATTCCGCTAACTGTTAAATTTAATTCACAGTTATTATTCGAAATAATATTGATAATTGACATTTTTTATTACGATTAAAAATATGGTAAAGCGTTATTTTCCAGTGATAAATAAAACTAGAATAAGATTACCTCAAGAATTCATAAATTCAACGAATAAGAAATTCATTCATGTTATAAATTTTAGTGTTTTCAGAAAATATGAGTCGTGTCATATTCATCAACAGGTTATATTTCACTTCATTCAAATTTAGTTCAATCAAACCCATATAATGACCATTTCATAAGATTTTCAGATGGTATTAAAAATGTAATTGATAGATTAAAATATGAACAGATTGACAATATCGAATTTTTGGAATTTTGGTTTAAATATCCGATGGAAAAAAGATTGAAGTTAAAGATAAAGCTGATACTATAACAAAAACAATTACAATGACCGATCCGGATAGTGGGGAACAAAAAGAAATAAAACAAACGATAGAAACTGGTGAAAGGTCAATTATTATTGATTATGATTCAAAGGATTATTATTCGATAATGTTAATGCTTGAATATTAAATAGCCTTAACAAAGAATTTTTCAAGTGATATTTTATATTCATCAACTATTTTATTATAAATATCATTATATGTTAAATGAAGTTCAGTTGTTGTTCCGTTCTTTGATATCTTAATTGTGCTAATATCCTTTATAGGATTTATTTTTGCAACTGTTCCGCAGCATGAAACCTCATCATCTATGAAAAATTGAATCTTAACGTCTGAATCTTGAACATCACAAAGAATGGCGATAATGTGAATTAATGATTCATAAGGTAAAATAATTAAACCGGATTGATCAATTAAATTTATTATTGAATCATAATTATTAATTATTATATCACGGTAAATTTTCATTAATTCAGAATTAATGTCTATTTTATATGGGTTCTCGATGTTTGATGAAAGAGGCGGGGGTATGTTGGATAAGTGGGAATTTCAACAGGTTCTTTACCGGGTTCAGATAAAATGATTGGGTCTCCATTCTCATGGTTTTCTTCATTCTCCTCATTCTTCGGTAAGTCACGAGTTAATAAATTTGGTTGAGTTGCTGACCTTGTTAATTCGGGGCTAACATTAACTTTAACATTTTGAATAATTCGTGATTTATCATCATTTACGTTATAACCAACCGTAATCTCTGCTTTTGCGTTAGTGTTCTTTTGACTAGTGAAACGTCTTCTCATTTATAATCGAATAAAAAAATATATTTAAACTTTTATTTTGCTGGAAGTTTTGAATCTATTATTCCCTGTATTTGTTCTTGAAGTTGATTTTTAGCTGTTTCATTGTAATTAATAGACCTAATATATTCATTAATTGCATTCTTATAATCATCTGATTTCTCAAATTTTCTTTTATCTGATTCCTTAACTAAATCATAAGTTAAACCTCGTTGCTGATATAATGGTTTCTTAATTAAATCTTTGAATGCTTGAGATAAAGCACCTGATGCAATTCTTGCTACTATAATTGGTTGGAATTGCTGTTTAAGTTCATCTTTAACATTTGCGAAAACTGGATCGAATAAAGCAACTTTAAAGAATTTCTTAGCTGAAATTTCAGGTCTAATATTTGCATATTGACCATCAAACTGGTTAGAATATCGTGGTAATCCATCCGTCCCTCTTCAATAGCATTTAATTCTTCATTGAAATAAGAATATGGATTATAACGGTATGAATTAATTGGACCATTTTCACCTTCTCCAATGTATTGTTTAACAGCTTTTCCATTTTCATCAAATTGCATAGGATAACGTTCATTATATGCTTTACGTTTAGGATAATCAGATATAGTTAATTTATAACCATTTATGACTTTAATATTACCTTGACCATCAGTAATGAAAACTTCATTTATACCATCAGGTTTTCCATTTGGACCCGTAATGTCTGCTTCGTGTGCTTCCCAATTTGGACCTTGACGTTTGGCATATGCTTGAGCTTCTGGTAATGTTAAAACGTTTCTCATTTGTTTAACATCTTTTTGAAGACCAGCAACAATATGAACTAATTCTTTCATTCCATCAGGAACTTTCATAGTTCTATTATATGCACCCTTTTTGTTTGTTCCTTGTTTTAATGGAACCTGTAGAAGATTTGCTATTTCTGTCATGTTTAATTATAAATAAAAAATAAAAATTAATTATAAAAAGTTAATCAAATTTAACACTCCTTTATTTAAATCAACTATTATTTTTCCATGTTCACCTAATTGCTGATATTGTGTGTAAAGTTCATTAATGCTCATTGGTAAATTCACTTGATAAAGCATAACGTTCAACTGTTGACGACTAAACCCACTGAAAATGAAAAGTGTTGATAGATTTGATTTAATGTTTGTGCTTAATGCTTTGAAATATTGAACAGCCATGAAGAATGAACACTGAATGTGTCGACATTGAGTTAATAACTGATTAAAATATGATTTCTCATTTGTTATTAGTTTTGATTTCACTGCATCATCTAGAAAAATGAGTGAATGCAAAAATTCTCTATCAAAATTTGAAATAGAAAGTGTTTCAAATAATTCATCCCGTTGTTTATCAATAATTTTATCTCTAATCCTTGCTTCTTGATTGTATTATATAATTCTTTATACATTAAAAAGTTTTTTAAATAATCTTCTGCTTCTTCTTGTGATAAATAAATAATTGGAATTTTGATTAAATGCTTTAAAGATTCAAATGTATCATCTGAAGGTGAACCTGAACGGTTGATATAAATTAACACATGTGAATAGGGGGAAGTGTTAGCAATAATGATAATTTGTTTTAATATCGTTAATGTTTTACCTTTATTTTGTTTACCAATTGCTGCAGTGATTGAATTTAAGTAACATTCAGAATATGGAATTTTCATTAATTTTTCCTTAGATAGAGCATTTCTATTATCACTCAATGCTTCATTAATCATATCATCTATGTATGTATTATATACTCCTGCTAATTCTTCATAAGGAGTGGATGAATTTAAATCCATTTAATCAAAAATAAATTTATAATTTTAAACATTTCTATTCATCAATATTTCATCATATGAACTTCTATACTGTGGTGGTGTACCTGTTGGATGATATTTCAAACCTTCATCCGGTGTCCATGTCCAATATGTAGTCCTAGTAAACCAAACCTGAGGAGGATTTGTCACCTTTGAACAGTAAGTGTCATTTTCACCCTGAATGATTGGATAAGCTTTCACTTGTACTGTAACTTGTGAGTTGAAAGTTTCTAATCCATCAAAGAATATACCCGCTCCATCACGTTGAACTGGAATAGTGCATAAGAATGAAGTTTGGTCTTTCCATGTTCTAGCTAATGGCGTGCCATCATCTGCATTCAGTGGTCTAGTTAATGAGTCCTCGTATTCTTCTGTGCATTCATTCACTCCATCTAAATCAGAAGCTTGAAGCATACGTGTAAAGAATATGTCACCCACTGTGGTCATCGCTTGATCGGGGAAGTTTCTGGAATCTATAGTGACCTGAAGACCTCGAAGCATTGGATTTTCTAAAACCGTTCTTTGCATTGCATTCTTCGGAAATGCTAACACAACATCTGTAACATTATGAAGAGCGTATGAGAAATCTGAGCTAATACCTTCAGGAGTGATGCAACCTCCATTTAGTGAACGAACGTCAATATGTTGAGCTGGAATCATGAATGGATCTTCCTTACTGAATAAACGTGGTATTGCTTAACTGATTCTTCAATTAAACCGTATCCTGGTGTAATGCATTTATCCTCTAAAACTTCCATCTTTGTGCATGAAATAATAACGTCATCAACTGTTGCGTCAGCAGATGTAGCGGCTAAGCTTGTAATTAATTTGGCAGGAAGTCCGATTTGTTGAAATTTGCGATCATATTTATAAACATGATTCATAATCTTTTCATAATTTTCATCAGTTATCTTTTCATAAACGTAATTTTGTAAATCAGCAACTCTTAACGGGTCAACCTGACAAAATACTAAAGTATCCCTGAAAACATAATATTTAAGAATGATATCACCAAATGATTTAGGATAATCATCGAACGCCTGAAATGCTAACAAATCATTTACCGGAATAATCATATCAAAAGTGACATCAACTTCTTCATTTGCTTTCTTGAAAACTTCTGAAGAGTCAATATATTTACCACATACTGAGTTATCATATTTTTGAACATTATTATATAACGAATGAACAAACTTTTTAACTTTCCTTTCTGATTTTGGTTTATATGTTGCAAATGCGAAAGATTCACGGGCGCAATCCATCTGAAGATAACCGGCATCACCTCTTTCGGTTTCTACTTCTAATTGTTTAAAGCTTTGATTTGATGATTTGTAACCAACGAATAAACGCATGCATTTAAAAGCGGCATCACATGTGAAAGCTTTATTTGAAACTAGAGTTGCTTTAACTTTGCGTTTAATATATGTGTCACCTAATTGGTTCACATCATGAGCTGGATTTGTAATTCTTAAATGAGTTTGTTTATCATCAAAATATGGAGCATCAGAGTCATAGCATGAACTTTCAAGTTCTCTATAATATCTTCTACCGTCATTCTTTGCGAATATTTCATTTATCTTTTCGAATGAATGAAACACATTTCCATTAATCGGTTTAGTGTTTGGCACCAAATAGTTAGTCGTCATTTATTAATAAATAAAAAATCAAAATTAAAAGATGAAAATGAATTTTTAATTTTAATGAAATAATCAACTATGGCTGCAGGTATATTTAAGAAACTGTGGGATAAAGTAAAAAGAGGAGCGAGTAAAGTTTGGGAAACATTGAAGATGGGAGCAAATTGGATATTTAAGAATAAAGAAGCAATTAGTGACGTTGCTGAATCAATAACGCCAAAAGCCGCCCCAATAAGAGAAGTTTTAAATAAAGGAGAAAAAGTTTATCAAAGACTACAACCGATACTAAGATAAAAATAATATTTATTTATTTTTCCACTATCTACCTCCTATTTTATTAAGTATTCCTTCAGCAATTCCACCAATTGCGTTACCTGCTTGTGCTCCCATTGCCGGATTACCTGCTTTTGTACCTAATACTCCACCTATGATAGTTCCTGCCGTTTTCGCTACTGGTGCCAAAAAGTTTGCAACGGGTTTAATAATTTTTTTATAAACCCAACCCGCAGCTTTCTTAATTCCATCCCATAATTTTTTAAAGAATCCTGCCGCCATTTCTGATTTAATATTAATTAAAAAAATATATTTCATCACTTATATTCTAATTTTTATTTAATGATAAATGAAACCGATTTTAAAAATAAATGAAACAGGGGAGGAAGAAATAAATGAAAATGTTCAACAAAAAATAAACGTTGTTAAACCAATTACTGAAATAAAAATTTTTTCATCTGTTGAAGAATTTAATGACTATTATGCTAATAATAAAAAATTATTTGAAGAATTGACAACATGTAAATTGAATAAAATGTTTAAAGTTGATGGATTCAAAATTTCAAAAATAAAAGGAGTGGTTAGTTTGAAATCTATTCCTCAATCAAGAATCACCTCATTAATGAAAATTGATGATTTAACAAAAAGAATAGAAGAGATTGAAGAAAGAATAAATCAGATAATTGATTTCATAAATTCAAATAATCATTAGTTTCTTAAAGTTCTATGTTGAACTCATCAAATTCTTCTTCATCATTACCATTACCATTACCTTTAGCGAGTTTATTTACTCTTTCAACTTTATCTTTTGATAGTCTTTCGTTTAATTTTTTCTGAAGTTTTTCGTTACCAAGTTCTAAAATTTTACATGGATGATATTTAAACCCGTTAAATTCTTTTTCCTCAGTTTTAATCATTAATCTACAAAGAACTTTAGTGAGGTGGTTTTGTTGTTTAAACCATTTATCCTTAATATTTGTTATAAATTCAATATCCGGAATTAATTCCTAAATTTTTGAATTTTCGATTAATTTACCATCAAATGCAAAAGCAATAGGTTTAATATTAAACTTACCTTTATAAAATAAACTTTGTATGTAATCATCAAAATAAATGTCTACTTGTTTAACCTGGGTGAGAATTGGTGAAAGTTTATCCATTAATTGATTCACAGTCACGAATTTTGATTCACTCATTTCTTACGAATTAAAAAAATAAATTATTCAAAAATGTAAGACATGAATTTTTAAAATTTATTTTTTAAAAATTTTTTATTTTTTATTTCATTATGGTAGTGAATCTTTTATTCATGAAAATAATTATTTCTAATTTCTTTTACTCTCTCGTATATACTAGATTTGAAGAATTCAGAACATTTCCCATAATCTCCTAAATGTTTTCTTATCCCTAACGTGTGCCAGTTATTATATGAAACTGAATAAACTTTATCTTTATCTTTACACCTTTCATCACTTCCAATATATTTATATCTCAGTTTTGATTTAGCATTTTCATATTCATTAGCGTTTAATAATTCACAGTCTTCCTTTTTAAATTGATGTTTAAGATATTCAGGATTTAATACTCTACGTTTATATGCTCCTAACTTAGTTCTAAAGGTTTTTCTACAAAATTTAGGAATTCCATCCTCTTTAATGTCATCAATGATTTCCATTTCATTATTTTCAATTTCTTCTTCTCGTTTATGAGGTCTTTGATTATGACTCCATTGATTCCATGAAATTAAATATTCTTTATCATTATATTTATACCTCATTAGCTTATTTTGGCTTTCATATTCATTTAATAATTCACAATCTTCATTTTTAAATTGAAGTTTAACCCATTCAGGATTTAAACAATGTTTAATTAATCGCGGAATATCTGACATCATCTATATATAGCTTCTTTTATAAAAGATAAAAAATAAATTATTTAAAATTAATGTTAATTTTTTAAAATATGTTTAGTATATAATATTTATTACTAATTTATTTAATAATGTCGCGCTTTCTTACGAATTCATGACTTAAAAAACGTAAGAAAAAATTTTTATATCATCTATATATAGAAGATGTGAAAATATACCTTCATCTATATATAGACGTAACAAAAAAAGTCACTAAACCCTTTATATCCTACTACTAGAGTAGATCGGAAATTTTCAAACGTTCACAAAATTTTACAACTATTGAATTATGGTATTATCATGTTGCATAAAATTTGATTGTCGTTGGAATAATTACACAAAGAATCTGATGCTTTATTTGTGGTGGCTAATAGAATAGATCAAAAACATTGAAACAATAAAGAATCATTTCGAATTTTTTTAGGGTCGTATTTTCTTTCAGGTTTGAATGTAACAATTATCTTTAATGCACCAAAATATTTCAAAAATTCATGAGCGATTATTAGGGATCCTTCAAATGAAATAAAAAATACGCGATTCTTTAGCTATTAAAAAAAATAGTTTAAATAAGGGTTGCTCCAGCATTTATAACAACTCGGAGCTTTAAGAACAAGAATATAGCAATAGCAATAGCAACAATCATCAAAATTGTCATGAAAACTAAAGCAACAATCAAACCAGTGTGCTTCTTACCACCACTTCCTGATGGAGTATTTCCACCCTGGCTATCTCCAGATGTTGTACTAGTTGTTGGCTTATTTGGTGTTGGTGAATATTTAGAAGATGTATGGGATGAAGGATTAGTAGATTGAGATGTTGGGTTAGTTGGCTGGGATGCAGTGCTAGTAGGTTGTGGTGTTGGATTTGTTGGCTGAGTTGGCTGAGTTGGTTGGGTTGGCTGGGATGTTGGTGTTGTTTCACCGCTTATTATGGATGGATTTCCATCTGCTGTGAATGTTGCCTTTGAAATCTCAACATATGATGGGTTTTCACCACTGGATTTGATTGCAATGCTTGGGGAGTTAGCATTGGTAAGCTTTACAACCAATAAAGTGTTTGGTGCTGATGTCTGGATTGATCCACTGTTTGAGACAGTACTGTATGGCTCATACTTTCCTGGAATGAATGCATCTACCGTACCTTGAACATTAACAGAGACTTGGGTAGACATTGTGCTTGGAGATGATAGCCAAATGCAATTAACTTTATCTGCTGAAAGTTTGGAGTTTGTAAGTGTGAAATCCTGTTGAGCATTATTTGAAGCATAAACGCTTTCGCATTGCTTACCAATAGGAAGGTTGCTAACAATAATAACAGAGCAAGCAAATTTAGTCTGAGAACCTGTCATTTTAACATAAAGTTTGCCACTTATTGGGCCTAATTGGATAATTGGAGAGCTTGAAGATAATTTGCCGATTTGTGTGTTATCTTTATCATATGCAGTGATGTCAAAACCATTGGTTGTACTAACTGCTACGATTGCATTTGAAGATACAATAAATAGGTTAAGATCCTTTGGGTCTGCTAAGTCTACAACAACTGATTTACTAGTAGAAACGTATATATTGGCTGTTGATATAGATAAAACAACGAATAATGTGAACATTAAAGAAATATGATATCAAATTCTTTTGAAAATTATTATGGCCAATTTTCTGAGTATTTCTTTCAATTTATTTCAAATCAAGTATATAAATTGTTGTACAATATTTGTTGGATATTTATATTTCTTATTTTGGAGATATATTTTTGTAAACATTTCAATATACAGAATCGTTCTCGGTAGGATTGTCAATTTGAGTCCGATAAGGATAATTTGCACATGAGAGCATGAATTTTCTAATTTTAGATCGTAGGGTGGATTAATGAATTTATGTATTTTAATTCTATGCTTCACCTTGGTTATTGGTCATATATTTTTTATTGAATTTGAAATTCTCTATTTCTCCAAATTAAGCGCTTAGATATGCTAGAAGATGCGTTGTATGTTGCAAGTTTCTAGATATAAAAACGAATTTCATTGATAAATCATTTAATTTGACCTGAATTAACATTGCATTTAAATATTACATGAATATCATATAATCATTCATTATGTAATTCTCATAGAAGACTAATATATAGAACTTACCTAAGTATTAAACCTAAATTTTTATAATGATTTCATTTCGTGAATTGTATTATTGATAAAGAGTGTTAAACATAATTTATGTTAACTTAAGCTTTAATCGTTATATAATATCAGAGTATTTATTAAAAGAAACAACATTTATAATAAAATCAAAGTAAAAACAAGGTAAACAAATGTGAAAAGGCTAAAAAGTTCATCCTATGATAAGATTAAAGATGAACTTGAAGATACTTCCATCATCATTAGAATCGTGCTGAATTTGATTCATATGCCATTTATTAAGAGGTAAAATTTGATCTCCATCATCTCCATTGCTCCATGATGTTTTTGAATGCACCAAATTATGAAGTAAATTAAAACAGAAATTATTACGCATAAAATGATATAAACAAAGACTTCTGGTGCTGGGCTATCATCAGTAGGGAAGTTTATTGTAAATTTTTGTTTTGACCAATGTAATTTGTTAAATGAAATTTCCAAGGAATAATTTCCTTTAAATAGTGGTGGGCAAGAACAAATAGCATGGCTGCCATTAAATTCGCTTGGAGGATAGATTGATGGGCCGATTTTGCAATATGGCATAGTTGTATTTACTTGTTGTGATTTATAGACTACTGTTAGGAATGAATCTGTATTTTCGCATTTATGCGGCTTAACTGATACTATAGTTGGTCTTGGATAATCGCAATCTTTTATTCCATCACCAACTAAACCTGGCTTGCAAGTGCATTTATCCATTGAAGTGCAAATTGCTTTTTCGTGGCATTTAGGATCGCACCTAAAGCAATCACCGCCATTCTCTGGATTTCCAAATGGAAAACCCGCTTTGCAAATGCAAATATTGAATTGTTCATCAAGTTCTGTATTATTTCCTTTACAAGCAAGTTTTGCGGTGTTTACGTATATAGTTTTTGAAAGCAAACTTGGAAAAGAACTTAATTTAATTCGAATAATTGCACCTAACATATAAAAAGTGACAATATTTCGTGTCAAAAATCATTCTCAAAACCAAGATTATGCTTTACTTGTCAGACATAAATTTAATTCAAACCCGTCATTTGAAAAATGAGTGTTTATAAACCCGAGATTCAAGCAGTAATTTTCGATAGCGACGGCACAGTTCTTGATACACTAAACCTCTACTACATTGCAATGACAAAATTAGTTCCTCCACCATATCCACAATCGTTAGTTGATGAAATTAACGGAAGATCAGACTTGGATGTCGCCAGAGCAATGATTAAACATTACAACTTAGATACAACTCCCGAAGCATTTGCAAAGAAACGTTTAGAAATACTTGATTCTCTTCTTCCAACATGCAAAACTGTTAAAGGTGTTGAAAGAATCATAAATAAGATACACGAAATGGGAATTCCGATGGCCGTTGCTACAAGTAGCTGTAGATCTGCTCACGAGGCAAAAATTATTAATCATAATGAGTTGTTTAGCAATTTTGTGGCAACTATATGCGGCGATGAAGTAAAAGAAACAAAACCAAATCCTACAATATTCCAATTAGCTTCTGGCAAACTTGGTCATTTCAATCCTGAGAACGTTCTTGTTTTTGAGGATGCATTTCATGGTATTGGTGCTGCCAATGCAGCTGGAATGCCATCTGTATTCTTAGTTGATAATAAGGAAAAGGCAAAAGAAAATATGGATAAGATGAATCTCAAAACTCAAGTAATGATTACATCCTACGAAGATTTTGATTTTGGCAGTTTCAATTGGGCCAAACATTAAAATTTTCAATTATATGTTACGTATTATAGAGAATAAAACATTTCATCGTTGAACACCTGAGCTTTTTAATTAAATATATTACCATTCCTTCATTGTAAAGCAAGGAGTATGTATTTTAATTTTCCAAATTTTTATTATATATGAACCAAGCATCAGCTCCAATTGGGATGAAAATCTTATTGTTTTCATCTTTCCTAAAATATCATGTCATTTTCTATCTATGAATTCATTGAAATTCATAGTAGTATATGTTGAAGGGTTGTGTGACTTTTTTTGTAAACGTAAGAATTCATACAATATTGAACGATTTTGTATCATTTTTTTTAACATATGAAGTAAAAAATGTATGATTCTTACGGTTTTTATTCTTACGTTTTTGAATAAATCAAGATTTAAAAAATTTTCAAAATTGTAAGACATTTACACTCAACCCATACATAATAACATTAATTTTAAAAGAAGCTATATATAGATGATGTCAGATATTCCACAATTAATTAAACCGATTTTAAAAATAAAGATTGAGTTCAACATTGAACTTTAAGAAACTAATGATTATTTGAATGAAAATAAACTTTAAAAATTCATATCTTACAGTTCTGAATAATTTATTTTTATTTTGTATGAAATGAGCGTCAAAACTAACAATGTTAAAAATTTAGGATTCACAAACGAGGAAATAAAGGATATATTAGAGGAGGTGGGTTATGAAGTTGATAAATATTATTTAAGAAATTGTAAAAAATTCGCGGAGTTTTTAAATGAATTTGGTTATGATGGAAAAATGAATAAAGATGATGTTATAATTTCTTATATCCCACATCTAAAGAAGAAAACCTAAAGAACCTGATGTTTTCCCTGAATATTTTGAAGAAAAAATTAAACAAGATGAATATTATAACGATGAGATTGAGAAATTGGAAAAAATAAGAGATGAAATAGATGAAAAAATTAAGGAATTAAGAGAAGTTGAAAATGAAGTAGAGGGTTTAATGAATATCCCAGCTTCAGAATCAGCAGTTCAGAAATCTCATGAAGAAAGATATAAAAATTACTTTTTGGAATCTACTAAAAATTTATTAGATGGTGAAATAGATGAAACACTTTCAGAAGAAGGCACAAAATTTATTCATAAACATAAGTTACAATTTATTGACGATGGGGATTATTCATGTATATTACTTTCACCTCCTCTTGATTCTGAAAAATTCAAAAAAGCACTGAAAAATGTAACATATGCAACTAATACGATTAAGAAAGAAGACCATGATATTTACACAAATTATTATTTAAATAAATGTACAGGTGTTGATAAAGTTTTTGATTTGTTAGATAAAATATCAAAAGAAACAATTGGTACATATAAAATTTTATGCGATTGTGGTTTCATTATTGAAGATACCAATAATGTTTCATATGAAAGAACAGCACCGAAGGAAGACGAAGTGGAAAGGTCTATACCATTCGTTATTAAGAATATAAAAGATATGAAAACTTATAAACATTATATTTATTCATTTATTTCAGAAAAAATGGAAGCAACCCATAAAACATCATCTCATCATTTTATAGCTATTCATACATTCCTTTTCAAAGTTGTGAAATTAAATAAGACAGGAATTAGATTTAATGTATCAGGGTACACATTCTTGAGTAAATTAAAATGTATTCGTCACGTCACAGATGATAAAAATTTATGTGTTCTTAATTCATTTTATGGACTTTAGCCCTGGACTCTCTGAGTCTCGGACTTTAAAAAAAATAAACTTTATTTTTATTTTTTATTCTTACATAAATGAACAAAAATGGAACAGCTAAAATGAATGATAATCAAATAAGAGCCGAAGGTAGAAGGTTATTTAAACGCTTCTATAACATTCCTGATGGTGTTAATCCTAAAACTCGTAGAAGTTATTTAAATGAAGCCATAGATGTATATGAAGGATTTGACATTTCATCAGAAAGTGAGAGGTTAGCAAGAATGTTAAATGTTAATATTGATTTCTATTATTGTGATCCTCAACCAGAAGACGTAGACATTAACAAGGTAGACTTTCCATTAGTGGATTCAATAATGATAGATCCAGAATTTGAAACAATAAATATTTTATTAACACAGAGTCCATGTGGAAAACTTCACGCTGACAGAATAACAGACGTTGAAGCACTCACCGGCTATAAAGTTTGCCCCTTTTGCAAAGAAGAAGTATATTCTATCCGTGATGATCCAGAAAGGAAAAACCAAAGAAGATTTTTAAAACATTGTGAGAAATGTAAAGAAAATAATGGAAGATTAATTCAAGACGTTCAATTGCAAAACACACAGCAACCATATGCACCACATATTACGAAACAGAAGATATATCAGTGGTTATTAGCTCACAATTTGCAAGAATATTATCAACCGACAAGATATTATATTACTTTTGACTTTGAAACATTAGAGACTAAAGAAGAACTTCAACTTTCTGAATGTGCAACTTTGAACGCTTACTTAAAACCATTTATGGTATCATCAACTGTCAAAATAAAGCCGCAAAGCGGTGAGGACGTAGACCGTGATAAAACATTTACGAGGAATTTTTGCTTAACATCAAGTGATTCGTTCATCTCTGATTGGATTGAATTTTTATTTTCAACCTGTTCATTAGTTGCTAAATCAAATATTGAACAATATGAAGAATTAATGAATACATTAAATGAAAAACAGAAGGAAGCATTTAAAGAACTTCTAGATGAGGAATTCAATAAAGTGAATATCATAGGTTTTAATTCGGGAAAGTTTGATTTAAATTTAATTCTTCGTGATTTAAATACTGCAAAATGGAAGATAAAATCAATGCTGGGTTCATCTTCACAATTTAAGCAAATCATTGTAAAGAAAACAAACGTTCCATATGAATTGAGATTTATTGACATCAGAAATTATATAGCGGGTGGAACATTAGACCAATTCACTCAAGATTTCGGAAACAATAAATCACGTGTTAAATCCTTTTTCCCTTATCAATTCATCACATGGGAGAATTACGAAGATGAATTATATAAAAAGGAACCATTCACTCAAGATTCATTTTATTCAGCATTAACCCAAGAAACTATATCAGATAGTGATTATCAAATATATCTCAATGATGCTAAAAATTTTGAGAATAGATTAGAATATTTTATTCATTATTGCAATAAAGACGTTGAAATTATGATTGACCCAATTGATAAAATTATTGAAGAAACATTTGTTTATAAAATTGATATGCTTCATAATCTTTCTTTATCATCGAATGCTTCAATGATTCGTTACGCGTTAGCATATAAGAACTTCAATCCTAACGAAACATATCCAGAAGAAGAAAATGTGGAATCAAGTTTTGAATTAACGAAAAAGTATTGGAAATATAAAATTGAATCATATAAGAAACAAGATGAAAAGGTGAAAAGAGATACTAAAAACAATGTTTCAATGGATGACTATCAATACTATCACGATTTAATCCTTTCATCTAAATGCAAAATGTGTGGTAAAGCGTTTACATATGCAAATAAACCAACATTGGATAGAATCGATAATGAAAAACCACATACTAAAGAAAATTGTCAGTTAATGTGTTGTTATTGCAATGTCGTAAAATCAAATAAAGATGAAGATGTTCAACGTTTAAGAATCAATTTAAGAAATTATGCATTAAAAAATAATTTACCAATGACTTTAGATTCGGTTGAAGCTTATCACATTCTCCGTAATGGAATTACTGGTGGTTTATCAAATGTTCAACATAGAGTAAATCTTAAAGGAATCACGCACATTAATAAACTTTCATATAATCCAGAAACTAAAACTGTATCAAATGAGGACACCACCAACATCATGACTCATTTCGTTGGTGTTGATTTTAATTCATTATATCCTTCATCATTTTCATCTAATCCTCATGATTTCATTCAATATACTGACCATAAAATGTATATGCCGGGAAGATTGAATGGTGTTATCATTTGTGATACAGCAACAAAGAAAGCAAAAGCACTGGGAATTATTAAGAAGAAAAATACTTTATTCGTGGCTGAAGTAAAGGGTCACATTGATGAAAAATACATTAATGATTACATTAACTTTTTACCGATAATAAGAAACTTAGATATTATCACAGATGAAAAAACAATTGGCAGTTTTATGTATAATTACATGAAATCAAACAATTTACCAGTTGACCAGAAACAGAGAAAATTAACTCAGTTAGCATCAACACACAACCAATATCAACCATTTTCTTCTTATTATCTTTGGTATCTAATCGACAGATTTCATTTTATCATCGATGATATTCAATCAATTTTAACATTTACGAAAAACACTTGTTTTAATGAATTTGCGAACAAATTTATGAACGAAAGACAAAAGGCTGAATTAGAAGGAAATAAAGGAAAAAGTTTATTTTGCAAGATTTCACTTAATGGATCATATGGTTACGATGCAATGAATACACAAAATTACGCAAAGACTAAAATAATGAATGCACAGAAGTCACGCGTTGCATGTATGTCAAATAAGTTTAAAAACATAAGAGAAATAGGTGAAGATACATATCAAGTGATGCTTAAAGATAGATTTTATAGATGTGAAACATGTTTACAAGAGGCATTCTTCACTTTAGATAACGCAAAATACTGGTATTTGGTTTTCATTTATGATTTTATGTATAAATGCATGGATGTTAATCGTTTTCATTTCATTGAAGGTGATACTGATTCATCTTATTGGGCAATCGCTGGCGACCCAAATCTTCCTAACACTCAAGCATTTCAAGCAATTGTTACCGATAAACAATTTTATGATAAAAACATTTTCAAATTCGCACACATTTGATTTCTTCTGTTTTGATGAGAAATTTAAACCTAAATTAAAGAATAAAGCTGAAGAAAAAGCACATGAGAAGAAGTTATTGGGTTTAGCAATTGAGAAACAAGGTGATAACATGGTTGCTTTATGTCCTAAGTGTTATACATCATTCAACGGTTCAATTGATGGAAGTGATTTTAAAAAGATTGCACAAAAAATGAAAGGTGTTGGTTTACGACAAAATAAACAATTAACACCTAAAAAATTATTTGGATATAATAAATGATAAATTGATATTTGATGGTCAGAATATTAATTTACAACTTAAAAATGGGTCAATGACTCGCTTAACAATTGGTAAGACTGCATTAACAGGAGCACACACTAAGGCTGTATGTTGTGAAAATGGATGTTGTATGCCATTTATTTAAAATTTTATTTTTAATGAAATGCCACAGAAGAGACAAAAGGAACCGTTAATAATGATTTTGATTCTTGATCAAAGAGGTGGGCGCCCTTAAAACATTTATTTTATTTTTATATAAATGGATAATGTAGATTTAAAAATTTTAATTGATGATTTAGTATTTAATCAAAATTTTCTTACTTATTATGAATTAAAAGCATATCTCCAAAAATATGATGAAAATATAACGGGTGATGATATGGATTATTATTATCATTATTATAAAAATGAAATTTTGAAATATCATGATAAAATAATTTCTAAAATTAAAGACAAAATTAAAAATAATGAATATTCAAAGGGAAAAACTAAATCACAGCTTAAACAGTTGAAAGATTTCAAAAATAAAGTATTAACAGAAGAAGATATTGATGAATTATATAAATTATATAATCCTGAGCCACAAAAACCAAAGGAACAAAAACAAAAGGAACAAAACACCCAGGTCCTTCAGACCATAAATGATGCACAAGCTTTAATTTATGATTCATTAGTTAAACCATATTCAGCCCGACTTTTAAATGAAGATCAACTTTTGGAATTCATCCTTCAACATAAACTCGAAGCGGGAAAGTATATCAAACCTTTATATACAGCATATTTAAAACAAATGAATAGAATACATCCAGAATTAATGAAGGAAGAAATGAAATCCAAAATCAAAGCAGATAAAATTAAACCACTTGCAACACCAAAACCTCCAACGACAGTACCGCCTCCTCCTTCAGTTAATCCTTCATCATTCACTTTATTATATCCATTTCAAACATTAAAGAAGCAAAAAGATTTTAAAAAGGATTTCAAGATATTAAATAAACCAATTGACCCAAAAATTCAACCGTTAAAGGAAAAATTTAGTCGCCCTTCATTTGCTCCATATCCATATTCATACGAAATCGATCATCTGGAATATTCAAAAGGAAACGTTACTTATTTATTTGCCATTAACATTAACACTAGATATTTATATTGCATTCCAGTGAAAGGGAAAACAGAACATGAAGATTCTAAAGGATTTGTTGATAACTCGATTAAATCTTGTTTGGCTTCAGTCATCGGAATGATTCGTACATTAAATGATGAAAGGTCATATTGCATAAAATATGTTAAAAGGTTATCATAAAATTCCTTTGTGCATGAATCCATTAAATTCTTGAAGTAATCAAATTGACCCTTGAATTTATTAACTCTTAAAACTACGTATCTTCTGTCTCCAACTTCAATTTTGACAGGGTAAACGTTATTAGTTACGAAAATGAAGTTTGCAACATTCTGAGCAGTTCTTCTGGGTTGATTCTTTTCATTAATTCTAATCTCATTGTCCGTAATAATTGATTTCAAAGCGTTGAAGTTTGCGAGTCTGTCTTCACCTACATTCTTGAGTTCATTAAGTACAAGAAACATTTTATTTTCAACTACTGAGTTGAAATTACCCGTTAGCTCACTTATTTCAGTAATGTTTTTACATGAATAACCGGCGAGAAGTTCAGAAATAATGTCCGTGAATCTGTTTTTACCTGTTCCCTGAAGTCCTTTCAAAATAATTGCTGTTTCATTCTTGATTCCAGGATGTTGAATCATTGATGCAATCCAGCCGAGAAGGTATTTATACACTTCATCGTTATTATCGCATATGGCTTCTTTAATGAAATCCATAAACATCTCAATTTTTGAGTAATCTACTTTTTCGAGAACGTTGTATTTATAACCTTGAAACGTTGAGAAAACATCTGGAGAATCAGATTTAAAGCAAACACCCTTAACGGTTAATGAAGACAATTGATTTAATAGTACATCCCATGCTGTTATGGTTTTACCTTCTTCTTTAAATAATTTAATCATTTTAAGTGACTCTTTCATGTTTGATTGAAGAACGAATGATATTTGATTCATTTTGTCGTGTATGTTGTAATCTTTCTGAATGAAGTATTTGTTTCCACAATCTACAAAACGGATTACACGTGATAAATCCTCAATTACTTCAGAACTGTTTTTATACTGATGATTTTCAGCCTTGCATCTAATATCTGTTATCAAAAACGAGTCATCAAGTTTGATATCAAATGTTATTTTTGGCTTACGTAATAAAGGTAAAACATATTCATCATAATATTCCTTTTGATAAAGTTTTAGAATCTTCACCAAAACAAATGGAGAAGTCATTAAATGTGCATATCTACTACGTGCTTTTTCAAAATTACTTTTTGCATTTTCAGTTAAATTGCAGAAGTTATAAACGTTATCGTATGCTTCATTAATCAAATGATTAGGTAACGAATTAATAGCTTGAAACAGTGTGAATAATGTTATTTCTTTTTCTAAATTCATGTTTCCACCATCATTATGTACTTCAAAATCACAGATGCCATCAACTATGCTCTGAGCTAGTTTATCGTCAATGTTTACATCTTTGTTTTCATTCATTATACTCTTTATTTCTTCATTCTTCTGTTCAACTCTTACCTTAATATTCAAATCATTTAATATATCATTCACTGTTCTAGTTAATGTTAAATCATAACTTCCACGAATGAATGAGTATGTATTGATTGGTTCTGTTGCATTCTTTCGAACTCTTGAATCAGCCATAACTACTAATGAACGCTTTGAATCATCCATTGAAGTCATTATGTCGATATCATAATCATTGCAAGAATAACATTTAATCATTCTGTTCGAGGTTGAATAGAAGAAGTTAGTGTTGCAATAAATGTGAAGACCTCCTGATGCGGTTTTAACGATAACATCTTTATCCGAAAGTTTTGATAAAATGTCTTTTCTAACTGTTTCTTTAAGTTCATCATTGTACGATTTATTGATATCAACATCTATAATCGTTAAATTTGAAATTTTATTTACTAATAAAGCTGTACCAGTTTTCCTTCCTCTTCCTCCATCATGTTTGAGGTAGTTATGTAAATTAATCATGTTTTCACCAATTCTTTCGTTGAGGGTTTTAGTTTCTGCCATAACTAATTCCGCAACTAATGAATCAATAACTTGTTCATCAGAAACGATAAAGTTGCTGTTGTTGTTGTTTGTTGCTGTCATTTATATAGGAATAAAAAAAATAAAAATAATTTTAAAACTAACTTTATTTTTGGGCTGATCAAATTTTCGTAAATGTTGTCAAAATGTCATGTTGTCTCATTTTTTCAGAGAAGTTAAATGACCTGGTGACCTGGTGACCTGGTGACCCCTTCAGTTCTTCAAAAATAATTCATAACTGCCTTCCACTGCTGTGTTGTCAAAATGTCATGTTGTCTCATTTTTTCAGAGAAGTTAAATGACCTGGTGACCTGGTGACCCCTTCAGTTCTTCAAAAATAATTAATTATTGAATAACCTAAATCATTTACTCACAATATTTTTGTACAAAACAACCCCAAACTTTTAACTTCTTTTCTGCAGCTTCTAATGCTATCTTAGCGAGTTCATATTCTCTAAATTCTCTCTTTAATTTTTCTTGTTCCCATTGGTCTAGTTCGTATGGAGAATCTCTATAACCATAACATAACTCACGTTCATGTTCTAATTGTTTTTCGCACATTTTTCCAACTTCTTCTTCAAACAAAGGTTTAGCATTCTCTACTGTATCTTCAAGTTCTTCTTCATCTAATTTCTCATGAACTTTCTTGTCTATGGAGTCCATAATATCTTTGACATAAAATGCATACTTTACAGAGCACCATTCAGCAACAAAATGAACGAGGTCAGGATGTATGTAAATACCTTTGAATTCATTTATAACACCCTTTGTAAGCTCATAAAATGTTTGTTTTGAGGTCGAGCCACTTTTGGCTCCACCGTATTCTTTCAACCAAAACTCAAGAATTTCCTGCATTTTAGCACTATTGAGAAATCTGTTTAAATGGTTTAACTTTCCTGCTTCTCTTGCCATCTTTGTTGCATTAATGTAACCATCCTTGTCTCTACGTAAGACTTCAATACCGTTATAAGTGCCTTTTGTGAATGTTTCGCCATTAGATTTGTTAGTGAATGTTTTTGCTTCGACTGACATTACTGTCTTTACATACAAAATAAAAAAATAAATAAAAATAATTTTAAAACTAACTTTATTTTTGCCTTCCTCATTAATCCTCCTGTGTTGTCAAAATGTCATGTTGTCTCATTTTTTCAGAGAAGTTAAATGACCTGGTGACCTGGTGACCTGGTGACCCCTTCAGTTCTTCAAAAATAATTAATTATTGAATGACCTGAAACCATTAACGTAAACATTTATTTCTACAGTTCATCCATTACTTCATTACCTAATTAATTACAGACATAAAATATATTTAGTTCATTCAATAAATGCGGTACCATGCGAATACAGTCATAAATGGTGGCATGTAATCTTTACCCGAGCCTGTTGGATTTGTTGTGAAAGTGTGTGAATGATTTCCTCCTGGTTCAGTTGGTCGAAAAGTCTTTTTTGCCGAATGGTTATAATCTGGAGATAAAACGTCATTGCCAGCATAATATTCTGAGTTGTATAATGGGTGGTCTCGTAATGAGTGGCTATGGTCGCCAGAAAAGTTTGTCGTTCCCGTATGAGTGTGTGATGGAAGGTTTTCAATATTTATTTTCTTTGAACCTCCTGTTTCCTTTGAAGAGTTTGCACAATACAAAAACCTGTCAACTATTTGTTCCCATGCACCAACACCAAACATTACTTGAGGACCTCTTGCATCCATTGATGTATAAATAGAACCTACTGGGTTCATTAAATCAAACATATGAGATATTATAGGATTGTCTCTTTTGAACTTAAAATATAGTGCAACTATTTCTGGTTTCTTCTGGTTTGTGTCAGAATATTTTTTATAATATAATCTTATGTTTTCAGGGTAGGTAAAATCTTGACTATAATATTTATTTCTGTCATCTGTATAATAATATACTATTCTCGTTTTTTCTATTGCATTATATCTTTTATATCTATAATAATCTAAATATAATGTTAACTTTTGTTCATCTACATGTGGTGTTCTGACATCATCTCCATAGTCATAATAATATGGTGCTGGAGCTGGGTCAGGCAATGTCATATCTACCATTTCATAAACTCTTAAATATTTCTTTTGTTCGTCTCCATATAAGTTTAAGTAGCAGTTGTTGTCTAATGGAACTTTAACTTGTGTGCCATCATTCTTTATATAGCCTACATACATTTCATTGTTATTTTTCGGAATGAGTTTCCACCGTATACCATTTTTTAAGGAGTGTACAAACTGCCATCTAAAATATTTATTTTCTTCATTGACAGAAAAGTCGCCAACAATAGTTTCAATATTTTTTGTTCCTATCAAACTTTGGTATATTTCGTTAACATATTCCTTATCTGCCTTCTTCCCTAACTCATCGTTAACATAAGTTTTATCCGCTTTAAGGTCTAAACATCCTGAAACCCATCCTGTATCGGCTTTAGTTTTTAAAATCTTTGATGTCCATTCATGATACCATTCAACCCTTTCTTTAATTTCATTATCTTTTTCATCCACGTATTCCTTATCTGTCCTCTTCATTAACTCACTATCCACATATTCCTTATCTGCTTTCTCCATTATGTCATTTAGGAAACCTTTTATGAATTCCTCATTTAAATTAAATCTTCCAATCTTCAAAACTTTAGGAAATGCATTTAATGCGTAATATCTCTGTTCTTCTGGTGGAATTGATGTTATATCATCCGTTATTCCTTTAATTTTTGAATTCATAAATAAAATTTCTTTTATATTTGATATCACTGCACCACCCTTGCAAACGAATTCGAAATGGTCATTTTTCAATACTATCTCCAAATCTCCATATTTCAACCTTTGCGTTTGTTCTGCCGTCTTTGAATTATATGCATATATGGCGTATGTAATGGTCTGAGGGACCTGGGTGCTTTGTGCCTTAAGTTGCTGTGGTTGCTGTTGTTTAATCATTTATTATGATTTAAAAATAAATATTTAATCCGTTATCTCATCACCTATTTTTTCTATTTGAAATTGCCATAATATTTCATTCATGAATTCTAAATCACAATCAAATAGGTCAGTTACTCTAAATTTAATATTTGATAAATCTTTTGAATGAAGAATAAATGAATTCCCAGATAATTGAAACGGATATGATAAAGAAAATATGTTTAAGTTGATGGATAAAATGTTTTGTATTGATGGGTAAGAGTTAGGGTCTAATGTTTGATGTGAAAATCTCATTGGGGTATTAACTTTATCACATTTGATTAAAATGAAATTGGAACCAGTGTCAGAATACAAAACATCCCCAACATCTTTTTCAAAATTTAATATCCCCAACAATGAACGAAGATGAGGAGTACAAAATTTAATTTTCAGCGGAAATTTAATAAGGTTATTTATTTCATCAAGTTCAAAAAGTTTATCAGGTTTTGATTTAAAATTTTCTTCATACCATACGATAAATGATTCATTTAAATAACTTAAAATCATGTTAATATCCCCTTTCGCGATCACATTATTTATATACATATCATACGTTTTTTCATGGTCATCTTTAATAAATGATATATAATCTGAAGGGTCTAAAAGAATGGGATTAAATTTACCACTCACAGAAACGAGAGTAACATTATAAATTCCGCTAACTGTTAAATTTAATTCACAGTTATTATTCGAAATAATATTGATAATTGACATTTTTATTACGATTAAAAATATGGTAAAGCGTTATTTTCCAGTGATAAATAAAACTAGGATAAGATTACCTCAAGAATTCATAAATTCAACGAATAAGAAATTCATTCATGTTATAAATTTTAGTGTTTTCAGAAAATATGAGTCGATGTCATATTCATCATCGGTTATATTTCACTTCATTCAAATTTAGTTCAATCAAACCCATATAATGACCATTTCATAAGATTTTCAGATGGTATTAAAAATGTAATTGATAGATTAAAATATGAACAGATTGACAATATCGAATTTTTGGAATTTTGGTTTAAATATCCCGATGGAAAAAAGATTGAAGTTAAAGATAAAGCTGATACTATAACAAAAACAATTACAATGACCGATCCAGATAGTGGGGAACAAAAAGAAATAAAACAAACGATAGAAACTGGTGAAAGGTCAATTATTATTGATTATGATTCAAAGGATTATTATTCAATAATGTTAATGCTTGAATATTAAATGGCCTTAACAAAGAATTTTTCAAGTGATATTTTATATTCATCAACTATTTTATTATAAATATCATTATATGTTAAATGAAGTTCAGTTGTTGTTCCGTTCTTTGATATCTTAATTGTGCTAATATCCTTTATAGGATTTATTTTTGCAACTGTTCCGCAGCATGAAACCTCATCATCTATGAAAAATTGAATCTTAACGTCTGAATCTTGAACATCACAAAGAATGGCGATAATGTGAATTAATGATTCATAAGGTAAAATAATTAAACCGGATTGATCAATTAAATTTATTATTGAATCATAATTATTAATTATTATATCACGGTAAATTTTCATTAATTCAGAATTAATGTCTACTTTATATGGCGCATTGCGACTGGAATCGTAGATTCCTGGGTTCTCGATGTTTGATGAAAGAGGCGGGGGGTATGTTGGATAAGTGGGAATTTCAACAGGTTCTTTACCGGGTTCATCTTCTTTATTTTCCTCCTCCTTTTTCGGTAAGTCACGAGTTAATAAATTTGGTTGAGTTGCTGACCTTGTTAATTCAGGACTAACATTAACTTTAACATTTTGAATAATTCGTGATTTATCATCATTTACGTTATAACCAACCGTAATCTCTGCTTTTGCGTTAGTGTTCTTTTGACTAGTGAAACGTCTTCTCATTTATAATCGAATAAAAAAAGAAAAATATATTTAAAGTTTTATTTAGTTGTTACGGTAATATCCCAAGGTTCATCCTTGTTTGCTTATACTTTCTTTGTAACTGCACCAATTATGTTATTGATATTGCTTTGAGTTTCTTCCAGTCTTATTTTATCATTTACAATATCTTTAATCATTTCATTACATGCATTCTTAAAATCTGATTTTTCTAATTTACGTCTATCACTTTCTTTAATTAAATCAAAGTTATAACCTTGTTGAGAATAAAGTGGTTTCTTTATCAATTCCTTGAACGCTTCTGAAAGTGAAGATGAAGAAATTCTTGCCACTTGAATTGGTTTAAATTCTGCTTTCATTGCTTCTTTTTCTGTTCATTGAACACTGGATCGAATAAAGCAACTTTAAAGAATTTCTTAGCTGGAATTTCAGGTCTAATATTTGCATATTGACCATCAAACTGATTAACATATCGTGGTAATCCATCCGGTCCCTCTTCAATAGCATTTAATTCTTCATTGAAATAAGAATATGGATTATAACGGTATGAATTAATTGGACCATTTTCACCTTCTCCAATGTATTGTTTAACAGCTTTTCCATTTTCGTCAAATTGCATAGGATAACGTTCATTATATGCTTTACGTTTAGGATAATCAGACATAGTTAATTTATAACCATTTATGACTTTAATATTTCCTTGACCATCAGTAACGAAAACTTCATTTATACCATCAGGTTTTCCATTTGGACCCGTAATGTCTGCTTCGTGTGCTTCCCAATTTGGACCATGACGTTTGGCATATGCTTGAGCTTCTGGTAATGTTAAAACGTTTCTCATTTGTTTAACATCTTTTTGAAGACCAGCAACAATATGAACTAATTCTTTCATTCCGTCTGGAACTTTCATAGTTCTATTATATGGACCCTTTTTGTTTGTCCCTTGTTTTAATGGAACCTGTAGAAGATTTGCTATTTCTGTCATGTTTAATTATAAATAAAAAATAAAAATTAATTATAAAAAGTTAATCAAATTTAATGGAACCTTTATTTAAATCAACTATTATTTTTCCATGTTCACCTAATTGTTGATATTGTGTGTAAAGTTCATTAATGCTCATTGGTAAATTCACTTGATAAAGCACAACGTTCAACTGTTGACGACTAAACCCACTGAAAATGAAAAGTGTTGATAGATTTGATTTAATGTTTGTGCTTAATGCTTTGAAGTATTGAACAGCCATGAAGAATGAACACTGAATGTGTCGACATTGAGTTAATAATTGATTAAAATATGATTTCTCATTAGTTATTAGTTTTGATTTCACGGCATCATCTAGAAAAATTAGTGAATGCAAAAATTCTCTATCAAAATTTGAAATAGAAAGTGTTTCAAATAATTCATCCCTTTGTTTATTAATAATTTTATCCTCTAATCCTTGCTTCTTGATTGTATTATATAATTCTTTATACATTAAAAAGTTTTTTTAAATAATCTTCTGCTTCTTCTTGTGATAAATAAATAATTGGAATTTTGATTAAATGCTTTAAAGATTCAAATGTATCATCTGAAGGTGAAACCTGAACGGTTGATATAAATTAACACATGTGAATAGGGGGAAGTGTTAGCAATAATGATAATTTGTTTTAATATCGTTAATGTTTTACCTTTATTCTGTTTACCAATTGCTGCAGTGATTGAATTTAAGTAACATTCAGAATATGGAATTTTCATTAATTTTTCCTTAGATAGAGCATTTCTATTATCACTCAATGCTTCATTAATCATATCATCTATGTAGGCATTATATACATCTGTTAATTCTTCAGAATTGAAATCCATTTAATCAAAAATAAATTTATAATTTTAAACATTTCTATTCATCAATATTTCATCATATGAACTTCTATACTGTGGTGGTGTACCTGTTGGATGATATTTCAAACCTTCATCCGGTGTCCATGTCCAATACGTAGTCCTAGTAAACCAAACCTGAGGAGGATTTGTCACTTTTGAACAGTAAGTGTCATTTTCACCCTGAATGATTGGATAAGCTTTCATTTGTACTGTAACTTGTGAGTTGAAAGTTTCTAATCCATCAAAGAATATACCCGCTCCATCACGTTGAACTGGGATAGTGCATAAGAATGAAGTTTGGTCTTTCCATGTTCTAGTTAATGGCGTGCCATCATCTGCATTCAGTGGTCTAGTTAATGAGTCCTCGTATTCTTCTGTGCATTCATTCACTCCATCTAAATCAGAAGCTTGAAGCATACGTGTAAAGAATATATCACCCACTGTGGTCATCGCTTGATCGGGGAAGTTTCTGGAATCTATAGTGACCTGAAGACCTCGAAGCATTGGATTTTCTAAAACTGTTCTTTGCATTGCATTCTTCGGAAATGCTAACACAACATCTGTAACATTATGAAGAGCGTATGAGAAATCTGAGCTGATACCTTCAGGAGTGATGCATCCTCCATTTAGTGAACGAACGTCAATATGTTGAGCTGGAATCATGAATGGATCTTCCTTACTGAATAAACGTGGTATTGCTTTAATTGATTCTTCAATTAAACCGTATCCTGGTGTAATGCATTTATCCTCTAAAACTTCCATCTTTGTGCATGAAATAATAACGTCATCAACTGTTGCGTCAGCGGATGTAGCGGCTAAGCTTGTAATTAATTTGGCAGGAAGTCCGATTTGTTGGAATTTGCGATCATATTTATAAACATGATTCATAATCTTTTCATAATTTTCATCAGTTATCTTTTCATAAACGTAATTTTGTAAATCAGCAACTCTTAACGGGTCAACCTGACAAAATACTAAAGTATCCCTGAAAACATAATATTTAAGAATGATATCACCAAATGATTTAGGATAATCATCGAACGCCTGAAATGCTAACAAATCATTTACCGGAATAATCATATCAAAAGTGATATCAACTTCTTCATTTGCTTTCTTGAAAACTTCTGAAGGGTCAATATATAGGGTGTCCAAAGGTGTGTTTAGCACAAACCTGAATACTGCGAATAGAAATAAACAAGTTACATATATATAAAGTTTATTTAAATATAATCACCATTGGATTCAATCACGCGTTCGCAGCGATCGATCCAGGCTTCAAAGACACGCTTTAAATCATCATGAGAAAATTGCTCAAATTGCTCTCTTACAAAATTTTCAAGATCATCTGGACTCGCGAATTCGCGTCCTTCAGCTCTCTTTTTTAGCGTGCCGAATAAATAAAAGTCAGAGGGTACAATATCAGGTGAATAAATTGGGTTTGGAACAACTTTGACATTGTTTTCCACCAAGTAATTCATTACCTTATGACTTTTGTGAACTCTTGAATTATCAAAATGAATTGCAAACTTTTGTTTTTGTTGTTTGGATTTCTCAAACTCATCAGAATTGATAATTTGAGTAAGAACATTGTCAATTAGATACTGAGCATTCATCGTATTAGGTTTTTGAAGAATATCAATTGCGATGATGCCATTCACGCCCCAAAAAACCGACAACATCATCATTGGTGTGTCAATTTTTTTCTTCGGGAATGTTTGCGGATTTTCATCCTTCGGGATCCACTGATTTTGGTTTCTGTTGCATATTGAAACCAAGACTCGTCCCCTGTTACTAAAAAGCGAAACTTCTTTGATTGATACGCACCCAATATAGAGAGGAGCTCTTTCGAAGATTGGACTCTAGATTTTTTTGAACTGAATTAAGGTTGTGCGGAACCCAACGTGTATACGCTAGTTTTGTAGTTCAAATAATTGTGCAGATAATAATGACTGTTGTACGTGGTATCTTTGTCATCTCCTCTATCCTTCTGAGTGATGCTCTTGGGTCTTCATCTAGCGCTTGAAGAATTGCTTTGATTTTTCTTTGATCCGGCGATTTTTTGTCAATTTTTATGATGGGCGCCTTTTTGTTCATGAAGTGATACATCCTAACATGATACGTTACAGTGGAATAGCTAGGAGCATCCATACCGAAGCATTTTACCAATGTCTCGTAGATTTTTTACAGTCTTTGCATTTTTTTGCAAGAGCGAGGATGTTTTCTTTATGATTCATTAAAAAAATGAAAAAAATCCCGCCAAAATTTCCCGCGAAACCGCCTCTTGTCTCAAAATTCATTTTATATCCCGGCATGGCGCCAAAATACAACTTACTCATCATATACATATATTCATATTTTTTATTATATATTTATAATCAGCATATATCTCCTTTAATAGTCTCATATAGAGCGCTGTGCTAAACGCACCTTTGGACACCCTATATTTACCACATACTGAGTTATCATATTTTTGAACATTATTATATAACGAATGAACAAACTTTTTAACTTTCCTTTCTGATTTTGGTTTATATGTTGCGAATGCGAAAGATTCACGGGCGCAATCCATTTGAAGATAACCGGCATCACCTCTTTCGGTTTCTACTTCTAATTGTTTAAAGCTTTGATTTGATGATTTGTAACCAACGAATAAACGCATGCATTTAAAAGCGGCATCACATGTGAAAGCTTTATTTGAAACTAGAGTTGCTTTAACTTTGCGTTTAATATATGTGTCACCTAATTGGTTCACATCATGAGCTGGATTTGTAATTCTTAAATGAGTTTGTTTATCATCAAAATATGGAGTATCAGAGTCATAGCATGAACTTTCAAGTTCTCTATAATATCTTCTACCATCATTCTTCGCGAATATTTCATTTATCTTTTCGAATGAATGAAACACATTTCCATTAATTGGTTTAGTGTTTGGCACCAAATAGTTAGTCGTCATTTATTATTAAATAAAAAATCAAAATTAAAAGATGAAAATGAATTTTTAATTTTAATGAAATAATCAACTATGGCTGCAGGTATATTTAAGAAACTGTGGGATAAAGTAAAAAGAGGAGCGCATAAAGTTTGGGAAACAATGAAGAAAGGAGCAAATTGGATATTTAAGAATAAAGAAGTAATTAGTGACGTTGCTGAATCAATAACACCAAAAGCCGCCCCAATAAGAGAAATATTAAATAAAGGAGAAAAAGTTTATCAAAGACTTCAACCGATACTAAGATAAAAATAATATTTATTTATTTTTCCACTATCTACCTCCTATTTTATTAAGTATTCCTTCAGCTATTCCACCAATTGCGTTACCTGCTTGTGCTCCCATTGCCGGATTACCTGCTTTTGTACCTAATACTCCACCTATGATAGTTCCTGCCGTTTTCGCTACTGGTGCCAAAAAGTTTGCAATGGGTTTAATAATCTTTTGATGAACCCAACCCGCAGCTTTCTTAATTCCCTCCCATAATTTTTTAAAGAATCCTGCAGCCATTTCTGATTTAATATTAATTAAAAAATATATTTCATCACTTATATTCTAATTTTTATTTAATGATAAATGAAACCGATTTTAAAAATAAATGAAAGTGAAAATGTTCAACAAAAAATAAACGTTGTTAAACCAATTACTGAAATAAAAATTTTTTCATCTGTTGAAGAATTTAATGACTATTATGCTAATAATAAAAAATTATTTGAAGAATTGACAACGTGTAAATTGAATAAAATGTTTAAAGTTGATGGATTCAAAATTTCAAAAATAAAAGGAGTGGTTAGTTTGAAATCTATTCCTCAATCAAGAATCACCTCATTAATGAAAATTGATGATTTAACAAAAAGAATAGAAATTATTGAAGAAAGAATGAATCAAATAATTGATTTCATAAATTCAAATAATCATTAGTTTCTTAAAGTTCAATGTTGAACTCAATCTTTATTTTTAAAATCGGTTTAATTAATTGTGGAATATCTGACATCATCTATATATAGCTTCTTTTAAAATTAATGTTATTATGTATGGGTTGAGTGTAAATGTCTTACAATTTTGAAAATTTTTTAAATCTTGATTTATTCAAAAACGTAAGAATAAAAACCGTAAGAATCATACATTTTTTACTTCATATGTTAAAAAAAATGATACAAAATCGTTCAATATTGTATGAATTCTTACGTTTACAAAAAAAGTCACACAACCCTTCAACATATACTACTATTCATAAATTGTATCCGAAATATTTCTTATAATTACATCCCACATGTATAACATTGCATTTTTTCTTCTAATGAATTTAAAGGATAATGTACATGGCAATTATTTTCATGTCCGATCAGAACATTCAACCTGATAAATATAGCGAATTGCGAAGTAAATATAAATATTATATCAATTCATATCATGCATTGTACCAGCTTAAAACGGAAAACAAAGAAGAATTACACTCAATTTACAAAATGATAAATACAGAGTTGATTGATTCAAAGAAATATCTCGCTACAAGTGTTATGAAAGACATTTTAAATATCATCCGGTATAATAATCGCTATACAAAGTCATATTTATTTCTTGCAAAACTCATATTTGATAATTATCAGGTTAAAAAGGTCGAAAATGTCAATATTATTTCATACTTACTATTTTTCAAAGAATATAGAATTAGATTATACGAATCTTATAGTATCGAAGAAATTATATTAGAAAATCTGGATATTCATAAAGAAAATTCAATTTACAGAGCAATTATGAATGACGACAAAGAAATATTCATTTCATTCACAGAAAGAGATGAATTTAATAAAGATCAAAAACTTAAAAGCGATTTATATCCATATTGTACAGACGGATATTCATTACTTGAATTATGTTGTTATCATGGAGCAGTTGACTGTTTCAAGTTATTAAGAACGAAATTTCATTCTCAAATAACTAATACTTGTCTTCAATTTTCATTTTTAAGAGGAAATCCAGAGATCATGAGTGAATGTTTGAAATATCAAACACCAGATAAATATTGCATGGCATATGCAATTATATCGCACAACATTGATTTTGTTACATTTTTAATGAATGAATACAATTTAGAGATCAACTTATTTGATTGCGGAGAACATAAAAATCTTGAATCATTTTTAGTTTATTTCGATCAAACTAATGATATTAGCAAATGCTTTGTAAATTCAGCAATGTTTAATATTCCATCTCTTTGTGAATACTTCCTTTCAAATGGTGCAAATATCAATGAAAAACGTGAATATATATTAACTGCTCTTCATATTGCAGCGCAGAGAAACAATAAAGAAGTGGTTGAGATTCTTCTTTCTCATGGTGCAAATATTAATGTAAAAGATGGCATGGAGGAAACTGCTCTTCATAAGGCAGCAAATCGTAATAGTAAAGAAACAACTAAGGTTCTTCTTTCACATGGTGCAAATATCAATGAAAAAAATAACAATGGGAAAACTGCTCTTCATATTGCAGCATATTGTAATTATAAAGAATTAGCTGAAGTTCTTCTTTCACATGGTGCAAATATCAATGAAAAAGATAACAATGGGGAAACTGCTCTTCATATTACACTAAATCGTAATAGTAAAGAAACAACTAAGGTTCTTCTTTCACACGGTGTAAATATTGATGAAAAAGATAACAATGGATCAACTGCTCTTCATATTGCAGCATATTGTAATTATAAAGAATTAGCCGAAGTTCTTCTTTCACACGGTGTAAATATTAATGAAAAAGATAACAATGGGGAAACAGCTCTTCATAAGGCAGTATATCGTAATAGTAAAGAAACAATTGAAGTTCTTCTTTCACATGGTGCAAATATTAATGTAAAAGATGGCATGGAGGAAACTGCTCTTCATAAGGCAGCAAATCGTAATAGTAAAGAAACAACTAAGGTTCTTCTTTCACATGGTGCAAATATTGATGAAAAAGATAATAATGGATCAACTGCTCTTCATATTGCAGCAAATCGTAATAGTAAAGAAACAGCTAAGGTTCTTCTTTCACATGGTGCAAATATTGATGAAAAAGATAACAATGGGGAAACAGCTCTTCATATTGCACTAAATCGTAATAGTAAAGGAACAACTAAGGTTCTTCTTTCACATGGTGCAATAACAAATATGTTCTTCCATAAGATGCTAATATTTCTTTTTCTGATAGTTTCGATATTGTTTTTCATTAGGAATAAAGATAATTGAACTTTTACTATTATTTAAGGCTGCACTCACGCCCATTTGACTTTAATTCAAATTTTTGACAACTGGCGTGAAGAGTCATTGAAAATTAACCTTAAACATATAAATTGAAGGCTGTGTCATAGGGGTGTAAGTGCACCCTTAAATAATCGCTTTATAATCCAATGTAAAACCTGTATGTTACAACTGATTCTATAAGTGGAATAATTTTTAAATACTAAAAAATTCGGTTAGTTAAATTAAACTGGTGGAATGGGCTGTAGCTGCTCTTATTGGTGCCCCTGTGCTGATGATTTTGGTTCCGCTACATATTTCCATGTAAACTTTTTTTTAATAATTTATGATTTTCCAACAATTGGGGAAAAAAACTCATAGAAACGATTATGTTACATTCAATCTACGTAGTATTTGTGCTTTTAAAGTTCAATATTCTTTTCCTTTTCTATATTCAAAATGAGATTTTGGAAATGAATATAAAGCAGGTCAATCTCGGACTTACCTTATTAAATGGCTTTTATAAAACTCCTTTTGCTCAGGACGAAATTCCTAATTGAGCCTAATGAATGATATTATATCGTGTAACTATCAAATAATTAAGAAAAATTAAAACTAAAATACTTTACTACATAACAAATATATATATACAATAACAAAGAACACGCTTAAGTCGTTTTATTAATCCTTTTATATACTTTATAGTTTTCAAATTTATAAATCTGTTTCCAATGCTCTTCATAAGGTGTAATTGGCTTTTCTTTTGGTGTTTCAACGTAATATGTCACATCAAAATTATCCAGCAATTTCACATTATTCTTGTTACTCTTGTATTTACTCAAAGCATTATATCTTGCTGTGTAATCAATTCCATGTGAAGAAATCCATCCGAGATATCCATAAAGCAACTGTCTCCCTGCTAACGTTGAAACAGGATTTCCATGCCATGTATCTGTGACAAATGTCGCATTATATGGAGTGTTTTTCTTGATCCAATTTGCAAATTCCATATCTTTCTTGAAATCTGGCCAAACATTATAGGATTCAACGAGACACATTCTTACAGCAAGTAATCCTGAGAATGTTGTACCTAAAAATAAAGGAATTAATACAATAAGTGACTTTTTTCTGAAATGATTATAAATATAAACGAAAAAGTTGGAGACAACAGGCAGAGCAAGTGGAATAAATGCTGCATAGAAGACTTTGGTGTTATCTAAGTTCCACGGCTGGTAAACAATGACGTTTGAAAGATAAAATACAAATAATGAAGGGAAATATATTTTAAATTGCCTTAATGATAGTATAACTACACCATTTGCAAGTGCAATAACACCAAAACAGCCTAATCCAAGCCACCAAAATGAAAAGAAATTAAATTGTCTTCCAGATTCGACCCAAACTGGTTCAAATCTCATAAATTTCTTTTGAACCCTTCCCATATATGGTTTCAATTGGAATAAACCGAGTGAAAGGCCAAAGAAACACATAACCAAATAATTTAATATTACATATTTGGCTTTTGAAAGATCTTTCCATGGGAATCGTATAACTGCATAACATACACCAAATTCGAATAAAGCAATTAACGCATGGCCTTGAACTTGTGGTAATGAACTAACTAAAATGCCAATTGCAATAAAAGCTTTGATATCGAGCTGTGATTTCATCATACTCAAGATATAAATGACCGACCAACAAATAGGAAGAGCAAATAAAGAGGCTCTTTGAGGTAATATTACGTGAATTAAAGAATGGAAGAAAGTACCGTATTTTCCATTGCCAAGTACATGAACGAAGTCTGTGTAAAAGAGGGATTTTCCTTTTAATTTGAATAAATTTAAAAATCCTGTTCCTCCAATAAAAATGAAAAATACAGGAGATAATGCACATGCTGCTACTGAACGTGTAAATGCGTATGTTGTACAAACAATTAAAGTAAAAATTGCCCAAATAAAAATTAATGATGGATAAACGATACTCTGATGAAAGTTTGCGTTGAACCCTGTAATGAAAACTGATGAGTAGAAATTTGGTATGATTGGATAAGCTAAAATTTCGCCTGCAAAAAATGGAGCTGTAATTTGAAATAAACGCTTTCTATTTTTGTTGCAACCGAATGCAAATGATGAAATAATGTTCATATGGAATGGCGTATCGCCATAAGCTGCACCTCGAAAATTATTTTCTTTATAAGCGACTGAAATATATTCTAAAAACGAAACAAAGACTGACGGTATGACAATCGCTAAAAGTATCTCTGGTTTGTTTGGAAAAGCTAGTTTGCGGTACTGTTTTGGGGTTAAATACATAAAAACAGCTGCGAAAAGAACCAATGTTAGACTGTGAATCATGCAATGTAGTATATCTGGTTCAAACCATAATGAAAATATAAAGAACATCCATGCCGAAAATATTTCTCCAAATGAACAGCCAGCTGCAAGAATAACAAGGCTAATTATCCTTCCATGCAGAAGGAAATTCATCAGACATGTCCCAAAAATCCATGATGCGACTAATGGAATACAAAATAGGATGTTCATTAAAAATGATTAGAAAAATATGGCAAATCTACTTTATTCAAAACATATATATTAACAGCATAGATCTCTTTCTTTTGTTAAGGTGAGATTTCATTTTATTATTCAGAAATCTAAATTGAAATTTCTCCATAATTCGAGTTTCAATGAAGGATACTCTACCTTCCAGATAGAGAAAGGAATGATAATATAGTTTAGATTGATTAAATTATGATTTAGTATGAAAATATTAAAAAAAATGTTGGATTTAAGAACAAATATCAGAAACTATTTTTATTAAAAACAAACATTATTATATATGGTATAGGTTATAGCCTTGAATTTAAAATATTTTCAAATTTTGAAATTCTATTTCTGCAATTTGTTGGATAACATTAGCAGAAATGTAAAATGATGAAATAAATTTATGAACTTTTGATATTTTGACCGTTCCAAAAATTGTAAGTTGAAACCAACCATTAGAATCTGGTAAAGGTTGGATATTCCAACCATCAATGTGAGGTGTTTCGAATGATTTAAGCATACCATAGAAATCGCTGCATCCCGATTTTCCTGAAAAAGTATTTGTTTGATTCACGTTAGTATATTCTATTTTTACATCGTCTGAATAGAGATTTATAAATTCATCTTGGTCAAATGTAAAATATTTATCTTTGATGTAATTGGTTATTGATAAAGCATCATTGGATATGGGTTCCATTTTTTTGAATTGCAGAAAAGTGACAATTAAAAATCTCAATAGTGAATGCTATCATTCTATTAACCTTATTTTGGGCAAAATTCTAAACGTCTGCAAATTCTAAATGTCTAAATTAGCCAAGAAAAATACTGCCAAAAGGAAAATTCAGATGCGCCAATACTTCGAACAACAAGTTAAAAATAAAAAGCATTACTCTGATCCATTCCTCCATGATGATAATTCCAGTGATGAAGAATTTGAAATCGATTTTCCTTCTAAAAAGGGTATTAAAATCAAGCTTCAAAGGAATACTGATGATGAGTATAGTAGCTCATCTGATGATCTTCTTTCAGGTAATGTGAATTTAGATGAAGCAGATTATTTGATAATATCACTCAAAATGCCAAAGAAAAATGCTAAGCAACAAATTAAAAAGGTCAAACCTGTGGCACAAGTTCCTACACAAAAAGAGCAAGCAAACTTTAAACAAGTTGCAGAAAAACTTTATAAGCTCAAGCAAGTGGAAATACAAGGAGCTGAAGAGGATGAAGAAGAGGAAGCTCTTATTTAATTAACTTTGATGAAATTTTTGAAAATATCTAGTATGGCTATTTCATTGCCATTCTAATGTATTCGATTATTCTATCATTACATTCTGTTAATTAAAGCAGAATGTCACTTATGAGTAAATATTATTGTTTGTTTCTTGGGTCTTTATAAAACCTTTATAAAATTATCAATTTTGAGTAGTTTATTGCGAATGTGAACCAATTGCTTGTCCATTAGAAAAAAATTAAAAAAATATAATGAATTATTAAGGCAGAATGCAAAAAATAGAAACTGAATTGTGTATTATTTGAACTATAGATTTGTAATATCTAAGAAACAGAGCTTTTATGATTAAAAAAAAATCAAACAAAATATTGATAATTGATAATAGAAAAATTAAGTACCTTTCTGCAGAAAAATGGCTATTAAAGAGAATCCTTGTCAACAGGTTCCAAAATATGTACATCCATTTCATCGGAATGAATTTCTTTTTCTTTAGGCTTTTGGTTAGGTGTTTGAGGTTCTTCTTCATCATTGATATATCCGAGTATAAGATTTGAGTAGTGAAGAATGAAGTAAATTGCTGCAGCGCCAATAGTAATTAGTGAACTTAAAGCAACTTTATTTAATTTAATTTCAGCCTTTCTCGTGCATTTATAAGTATATGGCTTTATTTGCTTGTATGAATCTGAAAGGCGTTTATCGTATAAACTTTCAACAGTGTAAATATTGCATGTACTTGTTTCAGAAAAATCATCACCAGAAAATTTAATGTAAAGAGATGTGCTTTTGGATGGTGGGATGTATAAAACAAAAGGATAAACTTCTGGTTGTTGAAAATCATTAATTTTTTGAACGTTAAGAGTTTCGTTTTCGCCGTTTCTGTAGATAACTTCTATGCTATTTGATGTATTAGCTGAAATTATTGAATAAGTAATTGGTGAAAATAAGCAAATTGGCTTATAATGTTGATATTTTTCAATTGTTACCTCTATTGTATCGGTCGTTTCAATCCAATAATTTTCTCCGTTGCAGATACCTTTCGGGATTCGCCAAAAACTATATTCGATTTGTTTTCCTTGATTTGATAGGAAATAAACATTCTGATCATGGAGTGAAAAGACGTTGTTTGTAACTGGTTTGATATCTTCATTATATTCAGCCGTCATCTCAATAATATCATTTCTTTTGAAGTGGAAAAAGCCATCAAATTCTAAATCCTTGAGGAAATTCATGTAGTTACTCTTTGCTTTGAATTTCTCTGTATAATATGCTTTGCCTTCTTCGAAACTTGACACGGTAAGTCTAAGAAGAAACAAAAGCATTTTTGAATAATGAATATTTGTATCAAAGCCGCTTTGCAATACAAAAGGATAGTACAAAGTGATATTTTTGAATCGTAGTTCTTGAAATTTTAATCAGATCAAAATTAATCGACACTAGATGGATCTTTTGTATGCTGAGATATATATGATTTGTTATAATGCAGTGAATTATAAGAATAAAAGTGGCATAAGTTTAAGATTTAAAAATATGATAACATTTTTATCATTAAATCAATGAAAAATAAAGTAATTATAAACTTATGGAATGGGATTTTTATTAATTTTATGTCAAAATCATGAATTGATTCTGTTGATAAAATTATACAGTTGATATCTAGTCATATCGATATAAATACTTATAATTGGTAGCCTTAAGATGGAAATTATCAAATAAATTTAATACTTCAACTCAGAGCCGCCGATGAATTCACGAATGCAAGAATTACGAGGTACAATCTCTGGAGAAAGTGGATAACAAATGTTGATAAGGCTGAGAAGGCGCTTTGCTTCAGCGGTGACGTCTTTGCATTCTTCAGTGTTTGGATCTTCATCTTCTGCTGGCATTGTTGCTTCGGAAAGAAGAACACGAGCGTAAACAGAAAGGACTGGTAACTCGTAAACTAATGTTGAGTTAAAGAACATTTCGGCATTTCCTTGATAAGGGAAAATGTTTCTTTCTTCGCCAACTCTGACTGATGTCCATCTTCTAAGTGTCTTTCTGGCACTGCAGCCTCTGAATTGGTTATCTCTGATGATTCTACGGATTAATCTGAGATCTGATGTTGGATATCTATGATTGTAATCGATATTAACTGGCGTAAGTGCACTAACATAAATTGGAGTAACTGATGATGTACCGATATGCTGAAGAAGTTCTGGATTAAGACCATGGATGCCTTCCATGATCAAGAAAGCGCCTGGTTCGAGGAAAATACGCTTCTTTGGATCATCTTCACCACGGCTACGCTTGAAATTGTACTTGCGAACAGGAACTGGTTCTCCGGCCAATAATTTGTGAACACGCTCTGCAAGAAGATCAACGTTCATAGCAGAGATGTGTTCAAGATCTTGGAGACCATCTGGACCGTAAGGTATTTTGTCGCCATCTTGGAAGTAATCGTCCATTTCGATAATTGTTGAGGAATAACCAGCAACTTGGAGCTGAATATCGAGACGCTTAGCGAAAGTAGTCTTGTTGGAAGAAGATGGACCGGCGATAGTGATAACTCTCTTCTTATCAAAGTTTGATACAAGTTTTTCTGCAAGCATGGCGAGTTTTCTTTCGTGAAGACCTTCGGCGACAAGTTTGATATCCTTGATTTCACCTGTAAAGATTGCTTGGTTGAGCTTTGAGACGTTTTCGACATTTAAGAGTTTTGCCCATTCGCCGTATTCCTTGAACATATCATGCAAGACTGTTGGGTCCTTCCATTCCTTGATGCCTGTGGGATTAAGCATTGTTGGAAGTCTGAGAATGATGCCGTCATTGTAAGGACGAATTTCAAAAACATCCAAAACAGATTTTTCTGTAGAGACAGGTTCGATAACGTAATCTAAAAACTCTCCGCATTTGATAACTGGAATATTTGCATCCTGCCAAGCTTTGAGGACACCTAATTTATCTTGATGTCCTTTTGATGAGAAATAAGCAATAAGCTCATCACGAGGCATTGTATTAAGCTCGATTGGCGTGCTTGATTGGAGAATTGCGTGCAATTCAGTTTCAAGCTTTGAAATTTGTTCATCATTGATTTTAGCTTTATGATAATCAATGAAATAGTAACCATCACCAAGTGAATGTTCTATTCTCAATAAGCTATTGAATAATTTCTCGTAAAGGCTTGTGAGTAAAAAGACAGATGTGGCATGACGAGAAAGTAATAATGTACGTGTGATCTTTTCATCACGGGGATCGTGAATCTTTTCGAGAGGGAATTCTGTCAAGTCAAGGGAAGGCTGATACTGAATATTCGCCATATAAAAATTTTTTGAGATAAAAAAAATATTTGAATTAAAAATGAGGCGGTTTTATTTACATGTCAATTCATCGTTTTTTTGTAACCAATGTAATGAATCTCTGGACATGTAACCTTAGAAGACGATCACAAACTCCGAATGCTATTAAATTGACTATCTTCGCGTTCTATTGGTTTAATATTTGAAATTGAATATCCTCTCTGAGACAAAACATCGTATTTGAATATTATCATTTATAAAATTAATTACACATAAATGTATCTTTCATTCTAAAATAAAGTAACTTTATTAATTCAATAAATACAAAAAAATAATAATTCTATTTATCTGTTTCCTCTTTAGAAGAGACCATTTCTTTAATGTTTGCGATCTTTTCACCTAGTTGTACTGGAATATCATCTTCATCGATTTCTTCTATTGATTCCATAAATTGATCGAAAAATGGAATTGTAGATAGCTCTTCTCCTATTTTCTGGAATGTTATAACAGCCATAGTAGCAATGTTTATACTTATTTCAAGTAATTGATCATTAGAATCTTGAATTAAAGCAACTAAACAGGCCATTAGTTTCATATCAATTAAATCTACTATAAAATCAAGGTCTCCGTATGAAAATAATTTTTGTATATAAGTAGATGCTGCCAATCTTTGAATAAAAGTTCCATTTGAAATTAATAAGATTAAAAATGATATTATTGGGTCATCACTAAGTGGTTTCCATTTATCTGCTATTTGAATAAGGAAATAGCCAAAATATTCTGGTAAATCTTGTCCTATTTGTAAACAAGCTCCAATTAAAATGTTTCTGAACTCAGGATTCCACAAATCATCAAATAATTTTGAGGACTGTGGTTGTGCAAGTAACTGCAAAAGATTTTTGGCCGATTCTAATTCCATTAAAGATTTTGTGAAAAATTTTTTCTGTGTTGGTCCATATTTAATAATTCCGCCAAGCTTTTGAACAATTATAAGAGAAGAGATTATATATTTCAATGTTTCTGGTATTTCTGTTGCTATTATTGATTGGATTTTGAAAATAAAAGGATCTATGTTTTCTACTTTGAATTTTGTATGAAGCAAGCTATCTATTAGTTTTGCATTAAGTATCATTGACTCTGTGAGTTCGTCTTTCTCGCAAATCCATGTTTCTGTGAGTTCATCTATAACAAATTGTTCTAGCATGTAGTCTGTGAATCCAGTAGTCTTATTCCCAAAATATATTAAGATGTCAAATAAATATCTGTAAATTTGTAATTCATGAGTTGTAAATATGCCTAAAACTCTATTGCAAAATGGTTCAAATTGATTTAAATCTATGTTGATTAGCTCGTTATTAGTAAATAATAAAATTAGATGTAATGTATATGTTAATATTGCAATATTAGTTGTTTCATAGAAGAATTGAAAGAGTTTTTCAACCAATCCGGCTTCCAATAGGTATTTTTGAGTTTGTATTTTAGATTTGCTAACTAAATTATTAAAATATTTAAGCTCTTCAATTATAATATCTTGATCAGATGAATTTAGAGCCTCCATATGGATTTCAACATCTTTTAATTCTGCAGGAAGCGCGTTTTTATGATTAATAATGCCCTTCGTCTCTGATCCAAAATCTGATATATTCTTCATTTATTTAAAATTGAACTGAAAATTCAAAAATAATTCAGCAAAAGCAACATATGCAATTAACTCTTTACATTCGTATGTTCAAATGAAATTGTGATTGAAATCTTTAGTTTCTGTTACTTTTTAGTTACAAAATATGAATAATACCATTATTTTAAACGCAATTGATAACATCAAGGAGTATTTTCTTGATATGAATGTCAAGAAAGTTTATTTACTATTGTTTGATACACTTCATTTTCCAGTTCCTTTCATTCTCCAATCAATTTTTGCGTCTGCTATTGTTAGAAAGTCAAAACTTAGCATTTCAATGTGGTACAATCTTTTCATTTCCTTTTTACTTATTTTCACTGGCCGTTGCACAATTGCACTTTTATATCATAGAGATTTTCCGCTGATTGCTAAGCCATATTATGTTCCAACATTCTTAGCAATCTGGGGTATAGTGAACTTCAGCACTCATGATATTGTTTATCGTATCGCCAAAACAAGATTTTTCAGTTTAATTGGAAGATTCATCATAGGATGGATTCAAGTTCGTGAATGCATTCATGGTGTTAATATGGGCTCAAAGAATGCTGATCAGAAATATTCTAAAATCATTTTCAGCGCAATTATATTATCATCATCCGAAATTATCATTTACGCTTTCGCAAACTTAAAAGCACGCGAATACAACCCAAGGGTACTATTTAGATTGATTCTAATTAGTATAATTTACTATGTTGGCATATATGAGAAAGAACGTATCACTACTTATACTGATGCATATTTCCAATTCCCAGATATGGAAATTTACAAATTAATTTTGCTCGGTTACCATTTATTAATGTATTTGCTCGATTCATTGATTTTTGGCATCAATGATTCAATTACCTACCTTGTTAAACATGTAGAAAAACCATCTGAATAAAGTAAATTATAAAATTTAGAAAAATAAAATTATCTTTTATTTTTTTTTTTTTCATATAAGCAAAAATACATATACGTACTAATATGATAGTTCAACACCAATCATTTAGTTACTTACAACTGAACTTTTATTAGCAAGATCAAAATTATCTAGACCATTGAAGATAATTTTTATGAGATTTGTATCTCTTGCTTTGTAGTAATATTAATTAAAGGCATAAATCAAAAAAAATAATCAGGATATAAAAATGTCACTTTTTGGCTTTTAAAAAATTCAACATGTCTACAGGAAGCAAATGGGGAGCAAAATCTAATACAGGAACATCTACAGGTGCCAGCTGGGGATCTAAAGCTTCGTCAGTGGCAACAACTGGAACGAAAACTTTTGGTTCTACAACTACTTCTGTTGCAAATCAACAGAAGAGCGTTTCTGGAACTCAATGGAATCCTAATTTCAATCCGGCAACATTAAAAGACGTAGATTTAGTCTCAACAATTGATATTCCCTATGCAAAATCTCATTACCGTGATGAATCAAATCCAAACTCTCCAATTACATATGAAATTAACCATATTTCGCATTTCGGTATGTTTAATCACTTGAATATTGAAACACTCCGTTATAATGATTATATCATGAAAGGAGGCATTAAAGCCCACGATTGGGATAAAACAGTACAACAGCAAACCACTACAACAACATCTTCCTTCGGTACAACGTCAACAACAGGATTTGGCGCCAAAACAACCGGATTTGGTTCTTCGACTTCTTCTCAGCCATTAGCAACATCGCCATGGCTATATCAGCCAATTCCCCAGAAATTCGATGTTACAAACGTAGAAGCTGATGTTGACAAGCCATACGGAGAAATTGAAACTACAAAAATTGTGATTTCAAAAGTACAAGAAGGTAGCGTTAGTTCTTGCGCCAGACTCAAGAAATTCACTCCTCGAGGAATTACAAAGGCTAAGACAATACATGATAACGCAATTAAGCCAAACAACGGAGAATCAAAAACTCCAAACATGTATACGTTTACCTTCAAAAATCCGAAGGATGCAGATGTTGCAAATGCAGGTACGAACCATACAACGATGACTTCCGTTTCTTCTTCAAGATTTCAACAAAAATATATTGATAAGATTGGAAATTTCATCGAATCCAATATCGGACAAGATGAAAAGACTGTTGTATACTACAAGAAGGACATGATCCTTACAATTCCTCGTGTTTCAGTTGATTTTGATTCAAAAACGGTTTCTTCGATCGGCCACAGCTTTACATACGAGGGAAGTGCAAAATTTAAAGACGTTGAATTCATTATCACTGCAAAAGAAGATAAATCTAACATTTTCAATAGTAGTAAGCTAGAAATTGTTGAAAATTCTCAGGGTAAGATTGCCAGGGGAACACTAGCTTTAATTCTTAAAAATCAATAGAGTTATTTGTATATTTAAATATGAAAATTTATTATTTTAAAAAAGACTATCGTTTAAGGTATTTTTGACGTTTTTAGTATGAATATCTTATAATGTCTATAATATTTTCATCAAATTTCTAATAAAGTTTATCTTTCTTCAATATTTAAGATAAAAATATTAAGTCTTGGAATTACTCCAACTTTGTCTATAAATTACTATAGCCTACTTTTGAGATTTCTTCATAATTTTAATCAAAATTTTTTCAATTAAGCTTTCCAGAAGTTTTAATGTAATTTTTGTAATAAATGATTGATAACTATTTTAATTTTGACTTCATATATGATGTATCTGTTTTGTGAAAAATAAACGTAAAATTCGTTGATAATTTTATTTTAATGACTCAACCTATAAACATACACATTACAGTTCAAGGAACTATAGACAAATGCGTTACAAGCGCATCATGCGACATGTACGTCAAATTCGGTTTCGTTTCAGGCCAAGATTGGGAAGCATATGCAGGTAGTAAAGCAGGTATATCATATACAACACATGTCAACTCTAAACATGAAGCTGTGTTCAATTACCCTGTTGGAATTTCTCTAAAAACACAGACACCATACGGATGGCCTCAAATTGTATTAGCCGTCTATGGATTAAATAGTTTTGGCAATGATAAAATAGTTGGATATGGAGCTATTCACTTACCATTAAAACAAGGAACTCACAAATTAAAGGTTCCATTATTTGCCCCACAAGCAGAATCGTTTTTCCAAAAAATATCTGCATATTTTACAGGCTTATATCCAGAGCTTATTGAAACTAATTTAGTTGCTCAAGGACCAAATAGAGAAGTAATGAAAACACATTCTAGCGGTTATGTTGAATTAACACTTAACATGGTTACTAACGAATTTGAGCAATTCCAGCTCAAGGCATAATTGCTATTTATTATATTGTACGATGATGTTTTTGTTATTTACTGATTATATTCATTTATATTACTAGTGTTATTTTTATTTCTATAAACTGTATTAATGTTTGATTCAAATCACATCTTTTAATCTAGTGATAAGTCAAAAAACAATTTTTTATTCTTTAAATTCTACTGATTTATCTATCCTGAATGGATAAGTCTGATTGTAATTTTGGATTTATAAATTGGACGATAGCTATCATGTTATTACTTCGATCATTTTGAAGAAAAAGAATTATTCTTAATTTAAAGGAATGATATAATTAATATTATCACATTACTCGCCATTATCGGCAAGTTTATTTTGTAACCTCTCCATTTTAAGTCTATCAAGCATAGCTTGAGATAATTTTCTAGCAAGAACACGATTGTACTTCCTAATTTGTCCAATTCTATGAGCTTCGACTGGATTTTTTTGAACCTGTTTACCTTTTGATGATTCAAAGCTCAGTGGAAGTCCCATTGCTAAAATTTCTTCATCTGTTATCTCGTTTGGTTCTGTTTTTTCTGTATGTCTTGGACGTTTGTGACGATCAATATCGTCTTCTTTATCATGACGTTTTGTTTTATATGAATTATGTCCATGTGATTCTTTTCCAGCACCCATTCAGTAAAAATGAAGAATTTTCAATATAGAATATTTATATTTCCGGGTATTTTACAATACCTTATAGAAGCTTGCTATTTTTATAAAGATTTCAGAAAATTTTCAATATCAAAGCTTAGGCAAATTATTTGATGTTATGGATATAGGATAATTTATCTGAAGTAAAATTGTTTTTATAGATTAGTTATAACAAGATTTTTAGTAAAAGATTTTATATTTAACCAATACGATATAATTTAAAATAAATACATGCCATATATTGATTTACTCTGTCGCAGTCATGGGTCTTGTTGGTGGAGCGCTGTTTCTTGGGCGGTATGGGTTATTTTCAATAAGCCATTTTGCAAGTTCGCGGATTGGATCTTCTGGTTTGTTCTTGCAAACAATTGTGAGTCCCTTCAAGAGAGTTGGATATACTCTCTCTTGGATTTTAACGACTTCAGGAGGAAGGTTCTCAGTCATTTTTGTTTCTAACGTATATTTGTCACATTTCTAAATAATGTAATTATAATCATTATTATTGTTATCGAATTTAAATATATATCGCATGTACTTTGAAAATAAATAGAAAATGGTTCGCAAAACCACAAAAACTGAATTTGAAATCTTGGAATTAAATTAAAAGATGGCATCTGTGTATGTGTTTGTTATGTGTACTGGTATCATACTTTTGGATTATTAAGAATAATATATAAATGCATTATTTAACAATTTTTGCATCAAGTTTCGGGAAATAAATTTATATTATAGAGAAAAGTTCCATCACATTACTTATATGACAATAAGTTTGGATCGTTTCAACTAGGACTAGTCTCATTTGAAAAGGATTTAAAATAATAATTTTTTGAATTTGGTATCACATGTATTAATGCATAATTAAAGATTAATTAAATAGTAGTGTGATATTACTGTGATATAAAAAACTATAAAATTAAATGTAATAAAAATAATAATTTAATTTTACACATTAAAGTGATAGATGCATCTAACGAAATCAATCAATGTTGGGATGTCATTCTTATGGATCATTTCTCTAATTGATCCAACGCCAAGAACAGGAAGAGAAATCTCAACAGAAGGAATTCCGACTTTTGCAGTCAAATCAACGGCCAAAGAGTCATTCTTGGAAGTAGATATGTTCTTATTAATAATCTTATCTGCCTTAGAAGCAATATTAAGGAGTTTAGCGATGCCAGATACGATAGATGCAGTATTCATGTCTCCGCTCCAGTTGTACATGATTCCCTTGCCAAGACCGATCGTGTTCGAACCATCTGTGTCCTTCGAAAAGTTCGGATGAACACCAGGAAGGCCAGAAACAGTGACAAGAAAAGAAATTTGATAAAAAGAGGGGGGAACACCAATTCTCTTGAGGGTGGATGAAAGGAAATCTGACTTAAATGAGGATTCCTCGAGTAAAGTGAATACTTTCATACCTTTTGAAGGAGATTCGGAAGAAATGAAGCCTTGGAATGCAGAATATGCTGTTCCTGGACCGACAATGCCTTGTCCAACAACAAACTCCTCTTCTATGCCGACTTTTTCTGGTCTTTCGTAATCTGAAAGGTAAACATCGAATGATTGAATATTTTCGGGGTTTGTATTGCATAATTGTGCGATAAATGCCATGAGAACTGGAGATTGTTCTGTGTTCTTCCTTGATTTGCCCTTAGAAAGAGCTACAATCGGGAAGAAATGTTGATTTAATTTAAATACTGGTTTAACGCCACTTCCTGATGCTAAATGGATAGCCAATGATGGTATAACAGCTACAGGAACATCAGACTTGAAATTCTTTGTTAATAATTTTCCTTCTTCATCTTTAATTTGAGCTTGGCCAGCAATTCTTAAATCTCTATCTGTCCATGAGAACCAGAGGCCATTTCCAACTGGATCTGTGCGTAATTGCTCACACAAAGCGCTTTGACGATAAGAATTTTGGGAAACTTTAAAGCAAGGATAATCTGATTTAGCGAGAACGATTGTTGCTTTGGATAAATCATTCTTGTCGACAGCTATTAAATTGCCAAAACCTCTTTTGACGTAGAATTTATTTGGAATTTCTCCCCATGAAGAAGTTTCTTCAAGTTCTGTGTAGCCGCTTTTCTTAAGAATGTTAATAATATTTTCTCTGCAATGAAGTGATGTCGGAGAGTCGTAAACAAAGTTCATAAATTGATTTGCTTTTTCATTGATGGTAGGATCTTCTATTCCTTTAGCAGGTGCTTTGTTTTGAGCTTGATTTGTAGGCTGGTTTGTTTCTGTTGTTTCTGGAATTGTTTCACTCATAAACTGTCACTTTTTTGAAAGAAATGAATTCATTTTCAAGGTATCAAACTTATATTTAGCAAAAATGAAATTAAAATAGATTATTTTATGTTAAATCTTTCATTATGCAGTCTAATTTTAATAAAGGTAGTCCCATAAAAAGTGACACCCTTCTTCTTTTTTCCTAGAGTTACTGTTCGCTTCTTTTCTGCTCGTTATGGCAGCGATGAAAGAAACGATTGGTGGAGCCTAATTTATTACTCCAATTAGCAACTATCCTATATAGTATACTTAGTTGTATTGTCAGTTATTCTCCAGCATTATGCAATTTAAAATCAACTTCGTTAATTTTAATTATATTGCAACAGTACTCCTACATAGAGATGACATTAAGATTGCACCTGCCAAAGCCCCATATTAAAAAACGAAATTTTGCATCTCGAAAATGCAACGACAGAATTCCTCGTAATTTTGAGTTCTTACGTCCCTTATGATACATATTCAAATAACTTGAATATAGAAAAAGTTACTAAAATTTGAGAAAATTATTGCAATAAGAAAAAAAAAAGTCGGCTTTTATATATAAATTACTTATAAATTACGATTATCTCTATAATTAGTGCACAGTACCACATATAATCGTTTGAAATTTCTGATTTCATTTTTATACATATTGATTGGAATAGTCATAACTCAAATCTAGGCGATAGTTACTACATTTATGCGAATGCAGTACGTTTCCATTCATCTATTTACTTGTTGTTGTTGAAATAAAAACTTTATTATTTTATCATCTTAAATAAAGAATTTTGTTATAGAAATAATATTTTCAACAACAATCATGGCATTACATCAACTATAGAATGAGTTTTTATCAAATACCCTCTATTTCCAGGAATTACCGTTTAAGGTTATTTTTTGCATCAAAAAAATTCAATTTTAGCATGATTGAAGTATTATTTTTAAAAAATAACAATAAAATATTAATTTATACAACAGTGTTATATATCCCTTACATTTTTGTGGCAAATGGAGAGGGTAATGGCGTCGAAATTGCATAATTTCAAATCTCCTTATCTCAACGAATACAAGAGGGATGTGACTGAAATTAGGCTATTTTAATAGGTATGAGGTATCAAACATTTTCACTGATGAAAAATTGAAAAAGCTGATTTCAGCAGTAGTATATGCGGACGGGTTTAGTGACTTTTTTTGTTACATCTATATATAGACGATGCATTAAAATATATTTATTTATAAATCATTAAAAAATTAACATTAATTTTAAAATAATTTATTTTTTTATCTTTTATAAAAGAAGCTATATATAGATGATGTCAGATATTCCGCGATTAATTAAACATTGTTTAAATCCTGAATGGGTTAAACTTCAATTTAAAAATGAAGATTGTGAATTATTAAATGAATATGAAAGCCAAAATAAGCTAATGAGGTATAAATATAATGATAAAGAATATTTAATTTCATGGAATCAATGGAGTCATAATCAAAGACCTCATAAACGAGAAGAAGAAATTGAAAATAATGAAATGGAAATCATTGATGACATTAAAGAGGATGGAATTCCTAAATTTTGTAGAAAAACCTTTAGAACTAAGTTAGGAGCATATAAACGTAGAGTATTAAATCCTGAATATCTTAAACATCAATTTAAAAAGGAAGACTGTGAATTATTAAACGCTAATGAATATGAAAATGCTAAATCAAAACTGAGATATAAATATATTGGAAGTGATGAAAGGTGTAAAGATAAAGATAAAGTTTATTCAGTTTCATATAATAACTGGCACACGTTAGGGATAAGAAAACATTTAGGAGATTATGGTAAATGTTCTGAATTCTTTAAATCTAGTATGTACGAGGTCAGGTGAGTGGGGCTTCCAGGCGCGTTGCGCCCTCTAGCCCCGGAGAAACTAGAGGAGGAATGATACAAAGACCAGATGAAAAAAATAAAAATATTATAATAAAATTAAATTTTTAGTCTTAAATTGTTTTTTTTATTCGGTATATTCTGAATCTTGAATGTCTTGGAAATTTTCTTCTTCTTCGCTCTCTGAGGTGAGGATTTCTTCGACTTCTTCTTCGCCATTGGGAGCAACAAATCCTGCGATGAAAACTTTGTATATACCTTCTTGAGGAGTCTCTATGATGAAAGTCGTATTGTTGAGGAAATGGAACTCGACATCTTGAACAAATTGGCAACTGCTGTGTGTGAATTTTGCAATTGTGAGAGGCTTTCCTTTATAGCCCTTGGGAAAGCTTGAGATAGTTACTGTTCCTCCATATGGAACTCTGGCAGGAATATCTAAAGCAACAGTTGTTATAACGTGGAAATTGTCTAAGAATTGAGGCATAGGTTCAATGCAGTATAGTCGTTTTGACTGGTTGTCTTTTGTGTAGAAATATAAATAGAATGACCTTTCACCATGTTCATTCAATTCTTCCAAATAATTGTATGAATTTGGATATAAACGGACAAATTCAGCAATTTTAACTTCTTGTAAATGCTTCTGCAAGTTCTTTGGAAACAAGTGAATGAACTGGTCAATAGCTTGCAACGCTATGAGATTGGCAGTAACGGGTAAATATGAAGCAAACATGTCAACAAGTACGTCAGGGTCTTTGATTTCGTTTTCAAGAGGCTGAATGGCATCCATGACAGCTTGAAACATCTCGTTATAATCTCGATTGTCTTCTGAACCCCACTGTTCATTTAACTTATCTAACAATTCTAACCTTTTCTTTGCGTATTTTCTACGAACTTTCTCTGAAAGAGGAGTGTCGCTATCTTGTGTGTCTTGAATTTGAGACTTAAATTGTTTGCTAAAGGCGAGATATCGTGTTTGCGACCTAGTGGTCATTGCAGAATGTGTTTCTGTATGTTCGATTGGATGTGTTTCTGTATTTTCGGGTGGTTGTGTTTCTTTATGTTCGATTGGAGTCTGATTGGTATGAACTTCTTCTGAAAATGCTTCTGTTCCGATAGTTGTTGTTGCCTGACCTGTTGGCTGAGCTGTTTCTTTGTGCAAATGCATATTGTCCAACAATTTGTTTGCAATTGTATGAGGAAGTTGCTTTGGTATTATAGGAGGTCGTAAGGGTTTTGAGAATGGTGAGACATAAGTTGTAGGAACTTTAACTGCAGAGGTAGTCGACGAATTGTTTGCGACATTTTTTCTTCCTTCCATTATGAAAAATGAACTGTTTTTTTCGGACAGTTAGTATACCTATCTTGGGTACGGCGACACTGCGTTCCACCTTACCCAAGATAACGGTTTGACAGTTTACAAAACCACTAACGTATATTTTACAACACAAACAACTTCACTAATGAAAAAATAAACGTTCACACTAACGTTCCCACTAATGTTCTCATTTACAAAAGTATTGCAGCGCTTCCCATTGCTGTGCTTCACACAATAGTTCATATTCTTCAGTATCGCTGCTGTCACTCCAATCGTCAGAGTCAAAATCACTGTCAAAATAAATGTATGTAAGTTTTGACAAAGCTAATGAAACACGCTTACCGTTTGTATCTATTGCTTTTATATATCTCCCATTATGTTTGTTGTCGTAAACGCTCAAACTAACTTTACCCTTTCTCCCTCGTATCTGATAGAATGTATTTTCACGAGGAACGAAGAACAAATTCTTGAACTCATGACCGTTGTAGTTTGTTATCTCAATAGTTTTCGTCATTTATATAAAATTAAAATAAAAAATAAAATAAAAAATAAACTTAAAATTAATGATATCACCACCCTCACACGTATGAAAACATAGCACAAAAATATATTTTAGGTGAAGTGGTGAGATCTCACCTCTTTTTTCACCTGTTTTTTCACCCTGTTGAATTCATTGCTTTATAACTCTCTTCCTTTCTCCAACTCTTCTAGCTTCTTCCTAAGTTCAGCAATGTTGTCCTCATGAAGTTTAATCTTCCTTAATATACCTTCTCTATCTAATGGTTGCTTTATCTTTCTAAACTGAACTCTACCATCCTTCATAGTATGAATGTAAAAACCTTCTGGAATAGTTCCTGATTTAATGTATTCTACCAAAAACTTTTGTTTCATTGCTTCAGTGATTTTATTTGTCATTTTACTCTAAGGTGAAGCTAGCACAGCGATAATGGATTTCATGACTTTTTAGTATTTCATGCAATCTTAACAGATAGCCTTACAAGTACTTCCAGTGTCCCTAGCTGTCCCTCCTTTTTATATAACTCCATGACATTTATAATCTCACGAAACTTAACAGGTAGCATAACAGATTAAAATCAGATGAGGTTTTGAACCAAAATTTCTAAGCAATGTTGTCAAGGATTTTTGAGGAACTAGGGACAGAGTGTGGCAAAGTCCAAGATTTAATTTATCTTCATCTGTTTCATCAGCTATCTCATCTAATATGCCAATATTTTATTCATAACTTGGCAAACTCACTAACTTCATTATGTTCATCTGCATGCTTCATCTGATAGAAAGTATGACTTTCATTAACTCTGTGAGATAATGAAAACTACTAGGGACAGAGACCATGGCAAAGTTTATGACTTTCATTATTTCCAGAACTTAATGAAAACTACTAGGGACAGAGACCATGGCAAAGTTCATGATTTAATTTATTCTCTCACTAACAACAAACACAAACTCCAACACTAACGACAAGTACTAACTTCAGCACAAATGACAAACACAAACTCCAACACTAACATCAAGTACTAACCTCAGCACAAATGACAAACACTAACAACAAACACAAACTCCAACACTAACATCAAGTACTAACCTCAGCACAAATGACAAACACTAACAACAAACACAAACTCCAACACTAACGACAAAAATAAATGTCCTCACTTCTTAACAAAGTAATATGTGCTTCTTACACCACCATAGCTCAAACGTTTCTTTTCAAACATCGATTGAAACTTATTTTGAGCCATTGGCTTTAGTCTCTTTTTCTTCAAATACGCCAAGAAATCTTCTTCACATCTTTTCACTTCATAGCCTTCTTTAAACTCCTCCTTGTTAAGTTCTATGAAATCCTTTATCATTCTTTGTTGCAATGGCTTCTTCACGAACGACATCGTGAACTATTTCATCATTGCATTCATGTATGACCTCCTCACTGTTCTCATGAACTATTTCAACACTGTTCTCATGAACGACCTCCTTACTGTCTTTCATAAGCGTTTCAAAGTCTCCTTTACTCATTACTTCAATCTCATGCTGTTCACAGTAGTACTTAAACTCACTGTATATGTCTTTGTTGTATGTTATATTGCTTCCCATGTACTCCATGAATTTTTCAAGCACTTCCTCATAATTCACTGTTTCTTTCTTTCCACGACCTTCTAATATCATACTTGCTTCGTAAATATAACTTCTTGCAGAACCGTCTCGCTTTCTACTTCTCTTCACAAATTCTCTCATCTTGCCACCAAATACATTTGAACTACATGCAAAGAATTCATTCTCCTTCGCAAATTCTTTATATCTTCTGTAGCACTCTGTACAATTCCATCCGGATACAAACTTTTCATAGAACTCCTCGTAAAACATTTGGTAAGGTGTTTTGTTCATTTCGATGAGTTCTTGTTTAGCCCTGGTGAATGGTATCTTCCTTACATCAAATTCACTTAAATCTTTCTTCATGAAGTACGTCAGTAAGTTTGAATAAAACTCTTCATTAAAGCTTTCAATGAGATTTGAGAAATATTCGTAATTTCCTTTGTATCTGCTGCTTACGTCAATGACAACAAATCTTCTGTCGTCTTTGTCAATCTTTACTGAGTTGAAGTTGTTAGATATCATGATGATATTACAAACATTCTCTATCTTTCTTACTGGCTGACACTTCTGATTTAAGTCCAACTGAGTCTCTGTTACTATTGACTTTAGTGCGTCGTGGTTCATGACCTTAGACGTATCGCATGAGCTTAGTTCATTGCATACGATGAGCTTCATGTTCTCAATAGCAGCATTGAATCTACCAACCACATTCTCTATTGCCGTTATATTATTGTTGGCGTACTTGCTAATGAGCTCGCATAGAACATTACTAAGTACATTCTTACCAGTTCCTTGCTTTCCTATTAACAAAAGTACTGTTCCAGTCTTTCCACAAGGATTTTGAACGATGTAGGCGAACCAGTTCAAAACATACTCATAAAGCTCTTCATCCTCATTACATATGACATCGTGAACATGTTTCAAATATCCTTCAATAATGCTTTCATCTACTTCATTCAGTACCTCATACTCATATCCTCTGAAATAGCTGTAAATGTCATCTCTTTCGTCAAAGAATCTCATGCCTGACTTCATAAGATAGTTCTTGTTCTGACCCGCTTCATAAATCATCAGTGCGTTCACATCCTTCTCTTCAATACGTCCTACATAAACACTCTTCATGAGCTTATTGAATTCCTTGCTATCTACTGACACAAGTGTTGTTGTGTCTCGTATTCCATCATAATCTTTCACTAGATATGTCATACGTGCTCCGTCAATAACGACAACACATCTTCTTAAGTCATTTATAACACTAGCTATGTCAATACCTCTCACTCATGTACTTATTTCTCCTCAAGTCCTTTAGTGTGAAAGTGTCTCTAAGTTCTATTTCAAGCAATTCATTTACACATCCTTTGCAATACTTCTCTATAAAATATTTCTGTCGTTCTTTACTAAGTTTCTTAACAGCTCTGAAGAACCATGTGTTTTGACTCAAACATCCTTCACAACTTCTCTCATTCATTCCTAGTTCTTTCATGTCATTATCTTCAACCTCTATGGTCTCATTGACTAAGGTCAAAGGGTTCTTAGTCATTGCTGGTCTTATCTGAAACAATGTTTGTGCAACAGGTTTAACTAGTTCAGCAACGTCCTTCCTTAATATGAATAGCTGTTTCCACTCATCTTTGCTAACAGTTCTTTCATAACCACTGACAGTAATGATTTCATTTGCTGACCTTAGACACTTATGTTCTATCATTTGTATTGCTTTTGTGTAAGGCTTTCGTGAGCATAGGTTGTATATGTCATTCCTGCAATGTTCATTCATGCCAATAGTACTAAATCCTTTCTTTGCTGTTGAGTGCATAATATCCATTAGTTCCTGTGTTCGTATTGCTGTCTCATAAAATACAACAAGACCTTTGTCATCTATGACGTACTTACCGAAAACATTGCTTATATTCTTTAACCATGAAATAACATCCTCATTCATGCTGTCAAACATGAAGTAAGGTCTTACATACTCTTCACTTATAAGATACTCCACAAAATACTTGTTAAGCTCTATGTCCTCGTGAGCGATTTCATTAGGTTTGATATTAGTTCCTTTTGTCATTGCTGTCATGTACTTCACTCTCATAGTTCCTTTCAATAGCGTAAAAATACTTCATTGTTTCATAACTGCTCTAAATTCTGTTCAAAATTCGTACAACATAACTTTTTAACATTAGTGAAAGAACATGAGCGAAACAACAACATCTAACATTACAGAAGAAGTCAATGACAATGCCGATGAAAACATTACAGAAGGAGCTAGTGAAAATATTGACGAGTTCAGTGAGGAAGAAGATATTGAGGACGTCAATGAGAACGTTAGTGGGGAACAAACTCAATGGGAAACATTGAGAAATCATGAAGATTATGAGATTTGTACGACATATCCTTTTACTATTCGTCGAAAGAAAGACAAACATATTATGAGTGAATGCTTAAATAATTATGGTTACATTATGCTTAGTTTAAACAACAAAAAGTACTTAAAGCATAGAATTATTGCAGAACAGTGGATTGAAAATCCAAACAATTTGATAGAAATAGACCATATAAATCATGATAGAACGGACAACAGAATCTCAAACCTTCGTTGGTGTTCTAGATCTGAAAACAATAGAAATAAAAGCAAGTATGGCGATATAGTTTATGAGTTCGTTGATGAAATATCTGACGAAGCTGTTGAAATAACAGATTATGGTAAGCATTCGTTTGAGTTCTACTACTATGTTGAGAATGAGGACGCATTCTATTATTATACAGGTCCTAACTATCGAAAACTTCATATAAACTTTACAAAAACAGGTGCTGCTTATGTTTGTATGATAGATACAGAAAACAAGAGTGTAATTTTATTTATAAACAAATTCAAACGCTTGTACGGCTTCATGTAGGACAAACATTATTTTTCAACACTAACGCCAACACGTAGGACAAACATTCATGACTAACATTATTGTATAAACTTCGTCGTAAATGTTTTGTCAAGACTTCATCGTAAATGTTTTGTCAAGATTTCTTCGTAAATGTTTTGTCAAGACTTTGTCATGACTTCATCGTAAATGATTTGTCAAAACTTCATCGTAAATGCTTTGTCAAACTGCATCGAAACTAAACGTAAACACTTTGTCAAGACTTCTTCGTATATGTTTTGTCAAGACTATAGATCCAAGGTGATGTGATTTTTGCATCCCTGGGATGGACGATACACCCAAAGTGTCACCTTTTTTGGGATAACATGAATTTTAAATATCATGAGAGTTCTGCAAACCATATGCACAATATCTATTCAGCCTGACTTCTTGTATATATGAGTTAGACTTCTTAAATATTGTGCTTGGGGCGATATAAGCATTTCCGAGATTACCATCGTGCTCTATAGTATGCTACTTCTCCCTGGTTCTAGCTCAGTTCCAAGGATATTGGCGTTCAAGGATTTGGCAAGGTCCTTCCGAAGTCTCTCATTCGATGAGAGATTTCGGAAGAATCTTGCCTTAAAGTACTCCAACTCTTGTTCTTTTGTTCCTAAATAGTGAGAAAAGTTATTTGACTACTTAAGGTAGAGATTATCCGAGGTCCCTCATTTGATGAGAGGCCTCGGATAATCTCTGCCTTAAAATTGTACACTTGTAGTCCATGAGAGTGTAAGTATACATTGATAGGACAGCTTTCTTCTGAAGTCTTAGATTTGATGAGAACCTCAGAAGAAAACTGTCCTATTTTATAGTAAAAGGAGTTTCAGGAGCTCCAAAGCTCCCTTTCGTAAGGATTAGGAGCTTTGGAGCTCCTGGTTCGTAGATGTGTTTCGCATCTTTCATCAGCAAAGGACATTTACCATCTGGGACTCTGTTGATGGAGACTCAGGAGCTCCAAAGCTCCCTTTAGTAAGGATTAGAAGCTTTGAAGCTCCTGGTTCGTAGACGTGTTTCGCATCTTTCATCAGAAGAGGCCCAAATGGTAAATAGCCTCTGCTGATGAGCTTCAGGAGCTCCAAGGCTCCCTCTCGTAACGATTAGGAGCTTTGTAGCTCCTGAAGATAAGGTAGGATTGCTCTGATCTCTAATCAGTAGATGCCATGCCTCATTATGAACTCTACTGACAAGAGATCAAGAGCTCCAAGGACTCCCTTTTTAGTTAGTGGCGTTCTCACCATTTAGTAGGATTGCTGATCCTACTAATGAAGTGATCACTTAGTATACGTTTTGAATAAATTGAATTTTTTTTAGAATTTAGTATTTTTTATAGACATCACATGTATATTATAAATACATAAATATATTCTTTAATTCAAAAAATTCAATTCGGTTTTGGGATGGGTATCCCAGCCCCAAGTATTCAATTTTATTCAATTTTTAAAGAATTTTGGGTTGGGATGCCCAGACCAAAACAAGCTTTATATTTTGATGTGTAGATACGTATGTGTGCATCATTGTTGTGTTATATATTATGTTTTTAATGAAAAAAAAATCTGATTCAAAAAAAATTATCACTAATTAGTTGATAATATAAAGAAAAAATAGATAAATTGTATGTTTTGAGAGTATTTATCCACATTCACTCATATGAATTTCATTAAATAGTGTCTTTTTACTCCCAAATTTATTTTGAATTATTGAAATCAAAGAAAAAAAATCAGAAAAATTTCTCGAAATTTTTATTTTCAAAAAAAATTGGATTTTATATTGAAAACTGACACTGGGAGGACGATAGGGCTGGGATTGGAGATACCCCGCTCACTTGGGAAAAATACGGATCTATAGTCAAGACTTCTTCGTAAACACTTTGTCATGACTTCTTCGTAAACACTTTGTCATGACTTCTTCGTATATGTTTTGTCATGATTTCTTCGTAAATGTTTTGTCATGATTTCATCGTAAATGTTTTGTCATGATTTCATCGTAAATGCTTTGTCATGATTTCTTCGTATATGCTTTGTCAAGATTTCATCGTATATGTTTTGTCATGATTTCATCGTAAATGTTTTGTCAAGATTTCATCGTAAATGTTTTGTCATGACTTCATCGTAAATGTTTTCAGTGTCACCACGTCACCATGTCACCAGGTTAATTAACTTCTCCTAAAATTACTGACAACATGACATTTTGACAACAGGTACGAAAGGAGGAAGGCATTTATGAATTATTTTTGAAGAACTGAAGGTGTTACCATGTTACCATGTGCTACCAGGTTAATTAACTTCTCTTAAAATTACTGACAACATGACATTTAGACAACATCAACAAAGGAATTTCATCGTAAATGCTTTGTCATGATTTCATCATATATACTTTGTCAAGATTTCTTCGTAAATGATTTGTCATGACTTCATCGTATATGTTTTGTCAAGATTTCATCGTAAATGTTTTGTCATGACTTCATCGTAAATGTTTTCAGTGTCACCACGTCACCATGTCACCAGGTTAATTAACTTCTCCTAAAATTACTGACAACATGACATTTTGACAACAGGTACGAAAGGAGGAAGGCATTTATGAATTATTTTTGAAGAACTGAAGGTGTTACCATGTTACCATGTGCTACCAGGTTAATTAACTTCTCTTAAAATTACTGACAACATGACATTTAGACAACATCAACAAAGGAATTTCATCGTAAATGTTTTGTTATGATTTCATCATATATACTTTGTCAAGATTTCTTCGTAAATGATTTGTCATGACTTCATCGTATATGTTTTGTCATGACTTCATCGTATATGTTTTGTCATGACTTCATCGTAAATGATTTGTCATGACTTCATCGTAAATGTTTTGTCAAGATTTCTTCGTAAATGTTTTGTCAAGACTTTGTCATGACTTCATCGTAAATGATTTGTCAAAACTTCATCGTAAATACTTTGTCATGATTTCATCGTAAATGTTTTGTCAAGATTTCATCGAAACTAAACATAAATACTTTGTCAAGGTTTCATCGTATATGTTTTGTCAAGATTTCTTCGTATATGCTTTGTCAAGATTTCTTCGTAAATGTTTTGTCAAGATTTCATCGTAAATGTTTTGTCAAGATTTCATCGTAAATGTTTTGTCAAGACTTTGTCAAGACTTCATCGTATATGTTTTGTCATGACTTCATCGTATATGCTTTGTCATGACTTCTTCGTAATGAGTGTAAATGACCCAAAAATAATGTTTAGGTGAAGAGGTGAGATCTCACCTGTTTTCTCACCTAATTTTTCACCCTCATGAATTTGTTAAGGTTTCATCGTAAATGTTTTGTCATGACTTCATCATATATGTTTTGTCAAAACTTCATCGTAAATGCTTCGTCAAGATTTCTTCGTATATGTTTTGTCATGATTTCATCGTATATGCTTTGTCATGACTTCTTCGTAAATGATTTGTCAAGGTTTCTTCGTAATGAGTGTAAATGACCCAAAAATAATGTTTAGGTGAAGAGGTGAGATCTCACCTGTTTTCTCACCTAATTTTTCACCCTCATGAATTTGTCAAGGTTTCATCGTATATGCTTTGTCATGACTTCTTCGTAAATGATTTGTCAAGGTTTCTTGGTATATGTTTTGTCATGACTTCATCATATATGTTTTGTCAAAACTTCATCGTATATGTTTTGTCATGACTTCATCGTATATGCTTTGTCATGACTTCGTCGTAAATGATTTGTCAAGGTTTCTTCGTAATGAGTGTAAATGACCCAAAAATAATGTTTAGGTGAAGAGGTGAGATCTCACCTGTTTTCTCACCTAATTTTTCACCCTCATGAATTTGTCAAGGTTTCATCGTATATGTTTTGTCAAAACTTCATCGTAAATGCTTCGTCAAGATTTCTTCGTATATGTTTTGTCATGACTTCATCGTATATGCTTTGTCATGACTTCGTCGTAAATGATTTGTCAAGGTTTCTTCGTAATGAGTGTAAATGACCCAAAAATAATGTTTAGGTGAAGAGGTGAGATCTCACCTGTTTTCTCACCTAATTTTTCACCCTCATGAATTTGTTAAGGTTTCATCGTATATGCTTTGTCATGACTTCTTCGTAAATGATTTGTCAAGGTTTCTTCGTAATGAGTGTAAATGACCCAAAAATAATGTTTAGGTGAAGAGGTGAGAT